GCCTGCTAGAGAGACAGCAGAAGAGCAGAGCAAAGAACCTGCCAAGATGCCTGCAGGGCGCCAGCTCCCCGCCCCAGTTTTCCCCGCCTAACGTCTCTCCTGAATAGCATTGCTGTTAAACAATATCAGCTACCAGCTGACAGACACCTGGAGCACCTGGCCTCCTACCAGAAACTACACCAACAGAAAGCATCACCCACGAAGGAGCAGAAACAGGACGAAAACCAGCCAAAACGATTTTCTAGGAAGCCCAGGGTAATGTGAGCGTTTGGTGAGACCCATCGGTAAGTGCGAGCCTTCAGCTGTCTGGCTCAGCAACCCTGCTGCGGGGTGTGCAGACAGGGAAACTGATCCACTCTCCTGGGGAGACGTTTGCACCTCCGTTTCCATGGCAGCATTACTCACAGTTCCCAGGACAACCGCTAAGCGACCATCAACAGGGGATGAGCAAATGGGATCACACACACAGAGAGAGAGAGAGAGAGAGAGAGAGAGAGGAACATTAGTATCAAAACCCAGAAAATCCAACTCCTGCCATTTGAGTCAACAGGGATGAAACAGGAGGAGGTTAAGCCAAGTGAAATAACCAGACAAACAAATACTGCACGATCCCATTCAGGATCGGAAATTTCACTAAGCTAAACCCAAAGTAATGGAGCGGGACTGCAGTTATCAGCAGTTGAGGATTGGGAGAAAAGGGGAGATAGGTCAAAAGTACAGACTTTCCGTTGTAAGACAAGAAAGTTCTGTCTTGAACTCATTTACCCTTGTTCAAGGCTACCCTTGAACTCACTATGTAGTCCAGGCTGGCCACAAACTCATGGCGATCCTCCTGCCTCAGCCTCCTGAGTGCTGGGATTATAGGTATGTCACCGTGCCTGGCTATGTATTTCTATGTATACGAATTAAAGAGAAAGTCTCAAGGGAAATTTTTAAAATCAAAATATTGAGCCCTGAGCCAGGCGTGGTGGCTCACGCCTGTAATCCCAGCACTCGGGAGGCTGAGGTGGGAGGATCGTTGCGAGTTTGAGACCAGCCTGGGCTACAAAGTGAGTTCAAGGCCAGCCTGAACTGCATAGCGAGACCCCCATCTCAAAAAAGACAAAAATAAACAAATAAATAAAATAACAGAATAGCCAGACAGGCAGCGTAGGCAACAACAGAAAGAAAAGGACTATAACAAATAACCCCAACCACACACGTTTTACAACTATTCAAGAAGAAAACATGGATGCAAGTTACTCTATAGGAAGGAGGTAACTTGAATATCCTATACGTATTAAGCAAATTGAAATTATCATGTAAATATTCCCAGAAAAGAAATCTCTAGCACCAGATGGTTTCCCTGGAAAATTTTACCAAACATTTAAAGAAAAATTAACAGCAGTTGTGCACAGATTCTTCCAGGAAAGTAAAAGGTGAGAAAATTCTCTAACTCACTTAATGATACAAGAATTTTCCTTATACTAACACCAACGATAGTATGAGAGAAAGAGCTACAGAGACATTAAAATTCTTAACGGAATATTAATACAGATAATTTAGAAATCTACAAACCACGTACCACAAGCAAATGACTTTTATATGATGCCAGTATGATATTTAAAAATCAATGCAGGCCTCCATATTACTAGGTTAAATCTTCCTGTGTAAGAAAAATCAGCTGATGGTATCAACTGATGCAAAAAATTCTTTGAAAACATTCAATAGTAATTCATAAGAAAATATCTTGGCAAATTGAAAATAGAGAAAAACTCACTCGACATCTACCAAAAAAACCAAAAACCCGCAAAAAAAAGAAAACAAAAAACCTACAATTAACAACACACTTAACTGTGAATGAATGAACCGATGAATGCTTTCCCATAAAAGTGTGAATAACATGAGAATGTCTGTTCCCACCACTGTTATTCAAACTAGTACTAGAAATACTAGCCATTGCAATAAGACAAGAAAAGAAATAAAAAGACACACAGATCAGGAAGGAAGAAACAAAAATATCTCCATTTGCAGGTGATATAATTATCCACATAGAAAATCTCAAGAAAGCTCCCTGCAGCCCAGGCATCCTGTACTCCGGGCCCCAAATGCCTGGGGGGGTCAGCAAGTCTCAGACCCCCTGCCTTTCCCAGGTGCTGGGCTGCTGAGGCAGATTTGCTGCAGGGAGAGGGGCCCCTTCCTCCCGAGCTCTGGCCTGGGTGCAGCAGAGTTGCTTCTCCACCCAGGGGTCCCCTCTGGCTCTGGAAGAGTCTGCTAAAGTGACAGCCAAGCTGGCCTTCCTGGGAAGCTGTCCTCAGGGTGCCCACCTGCAGGCCAGGAGCTGGGCTGGATGCTGGGGGACACAGATGATCATGAGTTTAGTGAGTCTGGGCCCTGGGGTGCAGAGGGACAGACGAGGTCCTGCTGTGGGGGACAGACGTCAAACACAAGCTATGGGAAGGGCAAAATGTCTTGTGGGAGACTCACGCAGGCAAAGAGGCACCACAGAGCTCTCCACGTGGCCGCAGCTGGGGGCTCAGGGCCCGCCTCGCAGTGAAGCTCACGCACACAGGATCCACGTGCAACTCTGTGGGAGCCACCGGCACTGACGTGGCTGGTCACGTGGGTGTAATGGGGCCGCACACCTGCCTTTCACACGTCACTGAGTGTGAGCCAGTGTGCACCTGCACAGGGTCTCTGCTTCCAAAGTGCAGCTGCTTGCCAAGTGTGCGCACATGCGTATGTGCGTGTGTTACTCCTGCATATTCTGTGCCCCGTGAGAAACAGTAATAAACAATGACTAGCTGTCCTTACCTCCTCTTCCCGCCTGCTGCATGCTCCAGGTCTCTGGAGGGGGCTCCAGCCCATCCGCCTTCTCCATCCGCCCTCAAGCCCCCGGGCAGCCGGAGAGGTCAGTGTCTCCCAGATCCAGTATCCAGCCCGGACCTGACTCCCTCAGTCCTGTGCCACCTGGCCTACCACGCGTTGGCACACCCACTGGTACCATGAACAGCCAGGACCAGAGCTCTGTGGCCACTTCCCCTGCCCTCCACCAGCCTCCCTGCTGGGCTGAGGCCCCTTCCATCCCCCAAAGTCTGTTTTCACATGGCATCGGGCATGATGGTGCTCAAACAAGTCTGAACACAGCCCTCTGCTCAACAGGCCCTGTGGTTCCCTGTGGCTCCTGTAGTGCAAGCCAAAGTCCTCTCCGTGCCTGCAAAGCTCTATGACCTCCCCTCCCTCACACTCCAGCCACTCTGGTCTCCTTGCTCTTCCTTGACTGCACCAGGCATGGCATGCCCCAGGGCCTTTGCACATGTTGCATTTGTATCATCTGTTGACCTGGTCCTTTATCCTCCAAATATTCACATTGTCACCGCCCTCAGCTGTTCCCTTCTCTATTTAAAATCGCAATCAGGGCTGGGGATTTAGCTCAGTGGCTCAAGTGCTTGCCTAGTAAGGGTGAGGTCCAGTAGCCCTTATCTGGTTCTGCCTTTCACCTTTCTCTATGGCCAAGATGCTATGCAACGCACTTATATTATTACTTATTTATTTCCGGCTCTGTGAAGTCGGATCGCTGTCTACTTTGTGTCCCATATTCGCAGTGCCTAGGAAGGTGCCTGCCGGTTAGTAGGGTCAAACGTATTCGCTGGATTAATTAAACCGCTTTGGTGCTCTCCTCTCCGTGGCTTATTCACAGCAAATGCAGACCCTCAACTGCCAGAGGAAAAAAGAAAGAGACAAAGAGAACTTTCCCGGGAGACTGAGGCTCGGCCCCTCCTGCTCTGGGCCTCAACCTGCCCACCTGCAGCACGAGCTGGACTAGCCCTCCCAGCTCTGAGGATCGATGGTTCCCTCCTGCCTCTTCCCATTAGACCGGACTGGATCCCATCCTGGGGCCAGCAGGGAAGCAGCTGTGCAGACAGATGCATCTCAGCGCCAGCCGGCCGCAGCATCTGGGCACAAAATGGGCTTCGAACCTAGAGAAGGCAGCCGGGACCCTGGATTTGTTCTCAGGCCTGAGCAATCTCACACACACACACACACACACACACACACACACACACACACACGCACACGCACACGCACACGCACACACTGCTCCCCAAGCCCAGCGCTCCGGGCTGACAGCGGCCCCCAGCTGTGTCTTGTTACCTGTTGGGACCTGTCCAGCCCCGCCCCGCACCCAGCACATCAGCCTTCGGCAGACGCCTGGCGCCAGCGGCCCAGCGCCTCCCGAGTGAGCACCGGGGCCTGTGACTGGTCTGACCGGAGGCCCGGCCCCCGGGCAGCACCTGAAGAGCAGAGAACACGGCTTCCTGTCAGGCTTCGGTCCCCCCTCCCAGCTCCTCCATGCTCTTCCTATGCTTTGGGCAGCTCACTTTTCCTGTCTGGGTCTCACTCGCCCCTCTGTGGAATGGGTTGCCATAATAAGCCTGCGTGTACCTCGTGTTCCTGGGAGACACAGCTGTGGTAACATCTAGAGTCAGGCACCGGGTTCCAATCCTGGCTCTCTAATTGTGAACTCTAACTGTGAACTCTCCTCACCTCTGTTTCTCCCTCTGTGAAATGGGTCTAGCAAGGGTGTCAGCCTTAGCCTCGAGGAGCCAGGATGGAGCAAACCCCTGTGAAGGTGACCTTCCGCATGGCCTGGTGAGAGGCCTCCAGCACCTGGCTGGTGTTCGAATGAAGCCTGACCTGTGGCCTCTTAAAGTCTTGCTTCCCGGTCTTCACCTTTCTGCCAGCCCTGCCGAGTTAGGGGACTGCAGAGGTCCAGATGTTTCGGCCCCAGGCCAGGACAAGGCCACAGGTGTGAGGGCTCGGGCCCACGCCCCCCACTGCTGGGCCTCCTGAGCCCCAGCCTTTCCCAGGAAACCACTCTGCACTGCCTCCAGCCCGGACACCCACCTGGGCAGAGGAAGCTGCCGCCCACATCGGGCCAAGTGGGCTGGGCTGAGCCGCTGGGCCCCAGACCGCAGTGCTGACTCACGGCTCTGACCCGCACTCGTTATAAAGGAGCAGCCCCGGGGGTTGCTGCAGCGGCCCAGGATGGCCCAGGGGACAGTGATCCGTGTGGCCCCCGAGCAGCCCACCCGTGCCGTGTGTGTGCTGGGCACCACCGCTCAGCTCGATGTCTGCAGGTGAGAGGGGAGCCCCGGGTGTCGGGGGCAGGGTGTGTAAGAACACCAGCCGGTCCTGCCAGCCCTCCAGCCCCAGCGGCCTCTGGCCCTGACTCCAGCCTCTGCCAGCCAAACCTGAGAGAGGCCAGAGTCACGGCAGCGAGGTCTCTGTGCATACGGGGACGGCTTCCCGGGACCTTGATCCAAATGAATTATTATGGGGCGATCAGAGAGCCCAGAGAAGGTCAGAGACTTGGCTGTGGTCACACAGCAAGGTCTGCGGCCCACACCTGATTCACCAGGAGATGTGCGGAGCGCACCGCTTCCTGAGGATGTGTGACAGTGTGGGGATGGTGGGACAAGCTACTGCATCAGAGAGACAGAGGAAGGTGCCCCTGGCCTGCTGCTGGAGTGGCCTCAGTTTCCTCTGCTGTGCAGTGGGGACACTGCCTGCTTCACGGAGTGGTCACAGATGAAACGTGATAGCTACTCTCTCTCTCTCTCTCATTTATTCATTCAACAAACGACAGTAAGGACCTAATGTGCTTCAAGCTCTGGACCACACGAGATGGTTGAGGAAGCCCTCGGGGTATGCAGGGCGCCCTTATCACTGTCACCCTCAGTGGTAGCAGAGGCAGACTAGGTTGGGCATCCATGGTCCTAGAACGGTGCCAACAGGAGTCTGAACCCAGCAGCCAGGGTGTAGGTGGCTTCCCAGGCCACGGACGGAAGACAGAAGGCTGAAAGTCAGGGACAGAGAAGAAAGCCGGGCCCTGCCAGAGCCCCAGACCCCTCAGAAGGGTGGCAGTGGGCGTGGGGGACGTGAAGGGTTAGCCGTCCAGCCGTGCTCCAGGGGCGGGTCAAGGTCTCCCGACCTCTTGTAGGTGGGGAGCTGGCCGGGCAGGGCCAAGAGGAAGGTGCCCCAGAAGGGATGGGGCCTCCCGAGTCCACGGGAGCCTCAAAAGCCTCCATTTCTCCTCCTTCAGACACTGAGCCCCATCTTTCTGTCCCCCAACTGCCGCTCCTAAAGATGGCTAAAATGACGTCATCTCTCTGCGTGGACAAGGCAGGCAGTGCCTTTATTCCCATTTTACAGAAGGGAAAACTGAATCATGAAGGGTTAAGTAGTAACTGCTCCTCCCCCAGCTGAGGGAGCCAGGGCTCAACCCAGGCAGCTGGCATCAGCCCCTCCCGTCCGCATCGGGCCCCCACCAGCCCTCCGCGTCACTGAAAGACAAGGTCTGCACGGAGCAGGTGGCGAGCGCCTAGGCGGGAGCTGCTCACAGAAGTCACTTTGCTTCACCCTGAGTTCCAAAAGTGCTTTTCCCGCAGCAGGAAGCACCCCGAGGGTGCGGGCATCCGGCTGCAATCCGAGCACCTCTCAGGCTGTCAGTGCCGGGCAGAGGCGAGAGATCGCCAGACCCGGTACCCGGCACCACGCCCTTCCCACCGATGTTTTTCTTGGTTTTGTCTTTTGTGGATTTTTTTCCTATTTTTTGAGTCAGGCTGATCTCAAACTCAGGTCGATACTCCTGCCTCAACTTTCTGAGTGCTGGAATTACAGGTGTGCACCGCCACGACCAGCCTTACTGACGTTCAGTATTCACAGAAATCTGTAAGGTACGGGCTGGGGATTTAGCTCAGTGGCTCAAGCACTTGCCTGGTAAGCACGAGGTCCTGAGTTTAATCCCTGGTACAAGAAAGAAAGAAAGAAAGAAAGAAAGAAAGAAAGAAAGAAAGCAAGCTGTATGATAAACACTCCCATTGTGCCTATTCTAGAGACAGGTAAACTGAGGGCTTGGAGTAAAATGCCGAAATCCCATACAGATGGCTCCTGGTTTCTCACACACACACACACACACACACACACACACACACACACGCCTGCCTCCAAGTGCTAGTGGGATGGCTGAGCCAAGACTGCTCCTGGTGGCAGAGTCAGCAGGTTCCTTAGGACTAGAAAGGCCCATGACGGGACAGAAGAGGCAGTGCAAACCTCTGAGGATGCCTGACTCTGAAGGTGCCACTGATGGGTGGCTCTTTTCTCCCAAAGGTCTCTTCAACAACAAATCACTTGGAATGATGGCAGGGCGCATGGAATGTCTGTTAGTGACTCTAAACCTCAGTTTACCCATCTGTAAAATGGGTAAATGAGCACCTGCCTGTTGGGTTGTGGCAAGGACTAATTCACACGAGGCACATTGAGGGCCTGGCAGCGGGGACCCCGTTCCCGTAAGTAGGATGTGCACCTTCTTTTCCTCCAAACTATATAACTGCATGTATATTTAAGTGTATAAGATAGAAAATGATATCACAGAGTTTTATTGGATCAATGAACAGAACTGTTTGCAGTATCATTGATGGAATGTCCACTTTACAAGCTTTAATTTTGTGACTTGAACAATTATTTCTAAGATGACAATATGTAATCCATTAACTAGTGATTTCCTACTGTTCATTTTTTTTTCTGTAAATCTGTATAACTTGTACCCTTTCCCTGCTTTTTTTTTTTTTCTTTTCTCCTTAAATAAAATTAAAAAAAAAAAAAAAAAAAAAAAAAAAAAAAAAAGTAGGATGTGCACCTCTGCGTGTGGCAGTGTCACAGACGCTGAGCACAGTCCTGGTGCTGTTGCTCCTCGGTGAGGAGACAGGAGACAAGGCAGCTTTGGGGCCAGGCCATCACCGGGACTCACGTTCTCAGGGCCAGCTCTGCACAGGGGACTGGAGTCAGGGAAGACTCAGCTCCGGGTTGTCCCGTGGTGATGCTCAGTCACACACACAGTGCGGAGGCCCGGGCACTGGGAGCTGAGAACGTCTGGGAAACATTGAAAAGAAAGAGCGCAAACCCTGGAGATGAGCCCCGCGGTGCTGCTTCTCAGGCAGTCCGGCTGCTCCCAGCCTCGGTTTCCCCATCTGGCAGCAACGGCAGCTGTGACAGGTGGCGGGCTGGGTATTGCCTCCCACCATGCTTTGATACACTGTCCTGTTGTACCAGATGCACCGAGATCCTGTCCTGTCCATCCCTCTGGCCACGGCGCAGGCCCACGGCAGCCCGACGCATGAGCCTTCAGGCTTCAGTGCAGAAACGGGCCTTGTGTGGTCGGCCTCGGCCAGGCAGGTGGACTGCGAGGGAGCCTGAGGCTTACGGATTTAGGGCACTGCAAACCAGGAGCTGGGCCCTAAGTCCCCGCAACAGCTTGGCGTATCCACCCTTGTCCCCAGCACAAGGTCTGGCACAGGTGACGTGGGCATGCGTATCGGTTAGCTGAATGAATCGCTGTGTGTGATACAGGCGGGCTGTGCCTGGCACATAGTAGGTAACGGAAGTGTTTGTTGAGTGAACAAAAGAAAGCTGAGCTCAGGGAAAGCCTTATTCATCTGTGTGCCTCCCCACAGCACATGGCACCGACAAGGCGCTCAGTGTCCTGTAATCCCCTTACAGAAATGAAAACTGGGCTCCCACGAGCTTGTTTCCCACTCAGCGGCTCCTCCCACAGCTCTGGCACTTGTGTCCCCACCCTTGGTGGCCTCATAGCCCTCGGGGCTGCACCTGTTCCCTGGGCCTGGTGCCTCCCTGGCTGTCATCCTGCCCCCTCTTCCTGTTATCTTGGTGAAGTGAGATGCTGGGCATAAAGAGCTGGGCACAGAAGCACCATCAGCAAACAGCAGTGTGTACTCCAGACTCCAGCCTCAGTTTATCCTCCTGTGAAGTGGGCTGACCAAATTCATGCCTTACAGCACTGTCCTGGTGCTATAAAGGCAGGGTGGGCTGGGAAAGGTTGGTCAGTGCAGGCCCGGCAGTGGACACAGCCACGCTATTTGGACCATCACTCCAGATGACAGAAAGTTTGTCTGCATTTTGCTTGTGCCCAGGGATTTTGCCTGAGACTGAAATTAAAGATGATGGGTTAATGAACCTGGCAGAAGAAACTTTAAGGCCGTCTAATGTTGAGGCACTGGCATGGCTACTGTTGGGAGGGGTTGGCCATATTTATGTTGAGAATCAAAAGCAAAGAGCCTAACAAAATAATTTGAAACATTTTGAGTGTGGCCAGAAAGAAAGCTCCAGGAAAGCTGTAGACTGCAAAGATAGATCAGAGGAGATATCCTTTGCTGAGAAGGATAGCAGAATAGGAAATATGGCCTGGGGACATCAGCAGGACTCCACCCTGTGCAGCCTCAAAATTGCAAACATGAAAGACTTTTCTTTGAGAAGGGAGCCCCAGAGCACCATGTTCCAGAATGGAGGGGGCTTAGGGAAATTGTTCCTTAGGATTTGACTCATAGGCACTGAGTTCCTACCACCGAGAGAGATGGAAGCCTGGTTACTGCCCCAGCAGGCACAGGACCTTGGCATCATCCATGTGGCACTGGCTTTTGGTGCATGCACGATGCAAGAGTTGTGGGGTCAGAAGGTGTCCACCCAGCTTTAGAAGCGGGCATGAGAAGGCAGGGTGTGAAACTATGAACCCAAAGGTGCAGTGGAGACCTCAGAAGGCTGGAGAAGCCAGTCCTTTGTATCCCCGTTTGTAACTTTTGGAATGGAAATGCCTGAATCATTGAATGTTGGAGTGTTTAACTTTCATCTGTAGAGGGGCTCACAGCTAAGAGCTGGCTTTACATATTAGAGGAAACTTTGGGCTTTCCAGCGATGCTGAAACTTGAGGACTTTGGTAGCCCTTAGAGGTTGACTAAATGCCTTTTACGTAAAGGGATGTGCATGAGTCTTGGGGGGACCGGGGGACAATGCTATGGCTTGTGACTGGATGTCACCCCAAGCCTTGTGTGGTCATAGGTGGGGGACTTTTGTCGAGGTGGGAGGATCTAGAGTGTGTGGTGCTGGGATTGATTCTTGGTGCAAGGCCAGCTCGAGGGCAACAGCATTGTGGGTGTGAGTGCTGCCCACCCTGAGTGGCTGGATAAGAGACACCGTGAAGGGCCCTTGCTTATTGCTTTTCCTGTTTATCTGCCACCATGACCCACTTCTCTGCAATGCCCCTCTGCAAGCCACCCCGCCTTGGAGCCAGTCGATTCTAGACTGAAACCTCTACAAACTGTGAGCTGCATAAACTATTTCCCCCCTTTCTCTTGGCGTGTCTGGCATTTTGTTTTAACAATGAGAAAAGTAACTGGGACACACGCTTTCCTGTACGTCCCTAATTCTGTATCATGAATACACAGAGCTTTGACGACACAGACAAAAACCCAGTTGATTACAAAAATAAAAACAGGAAACATAATCCTAATCTCTCTGTGTCTCATGAAGTGAGTTCTGCCTTTCTAAGGAGTCTCCCACACGCTGTGTGATTCAACTATGATATTTTTTTGTTTCAGTTTGTAGTTTTTCTTTTCAAGATAGTCTCTCTGTGTACTTCAGGCTGACCTTGAACCCACTAGATAGCTCAGGTTGGCCTTGAATTCGTGGTGCTCCTCCTGCCTCAACCTCCCGAGTGTGAGGATTACATGCATGCACCACCGTGCCCAGCTCTGCTGGTTTCTCAGCCTCTCCTCTGTCTGTAGAACTGTTCCGCTCACCAGGACACAAAGGACTCCTCCACGCTGTCCTGAACATGTCTCTTGATGCACATGTGGCAAAAAATCTCCAAAATGTTGGTCGGGGAGCGGAATTGCTGGGTTAGGATTGGCTAATGTTTGGCTTTACAAGAAAACACTAAGTTGATTTACAAAAAGGTTTACATCACACCCTGTGAACAGTGCAGTAGAGTATCTGCCGACCCACGTAGTCTAGGACATCATTTTTTACCAATCAAGTATGTGTAAGATCCTGTCTCATTCCAGCCGCAGCTCTTCACGGGATTAGCAACCGTGTTTATGTTTCCATTTCTCTAAATTCCCATTTGTCTTTTGCCTATTTTTGGCTACAGGGCTTAAATTCTTTAAATATTCTAGATGCTAAGCCTTTGTTGGTTTTACTTTGTGGATACTCTTTCCTTAGATCGTGCTTGTCTTTTATGCTAAATTTTCATCCAATTGAACTTACCAATATTTTCCCTCATGCTTATTTGTTTTGATATCTTGTTTCAGAAGGCGCTTACAGATGTATGTTCCTAAATCTTCTTTTAAAATACTCAATGTTCTGCTGGGTACGTTATGATTTTCTCCGCCTGGAACTCAATTTTTCTATATGGCGTGAGGCTGGGATCGATTTAATTCTTGCATTATTTGTTCGGTTTATTTCCCACATGAATGAACTATGAATCTGGCGCCATTTATGATGTAACCTCCACGGTTCCCGTTCTCTACGAGGCCACTTTCATGGATCAAGTAGGGTCTCTCTTAAGTAGCCTCCTCCCTGTGCCTTGGCCTGGATCATCATACCCAGTGGTGTAGTTTCAAATTTTGCTGTCTTTTGCTTCTTTCCTTAGAAGGTACTTGAACTATCTCAGCCCTTGATTTTCCACATAAGTTTTAAAATCAATTTGTCAAGTTCAGTAAGAATCTCTGCAACCCCAAGGAATACATAAGTCCTTCAAATATTTTGACTCTCATCAACCTCCTGCCAATTTAAATCCTGCCCCTTTTCATCCCACAAATTTGATGTTTTTTAGGACTTTGTTTCTTTGTACCTAGATGACGTTTGTTTAGATTTACGAAGAGATTTACCATTTTCCTTGTTCACCGTTCTTTCCTGTACCATCCTCTGGCCTTGACGACCTTCTCCCAAAACTACACCTTCAGAAATTGCTGTGGTCAAAGTCTGTTGATTTTTAAATATCAACTTTATTCACCTGAAAATGTCTTTACTAAAAGATGGGGGGCTGAAGCAGGGAGATCACCTGAGCTCAGGAGCTCAAGACCAGTCTGGGAAATACAGCAAGACCCTGTCTAAAAATAATATGAGAAGAATACACAATTCTAAGTTAACTGTCACTTTCTCAAAATTCTATGAAGACTTATTCAATTGTTCCCTAGATTTCACTGCTACTGTTGACAATCTGCTGTCAATCTATATAGATCTCGTTCTGAGCGATCCGGCTGCTCTTCCTGAATGACTTTGAGACCTTATCTTTGAGATACGAGTGTGCCACGGTTATGTTATTAGATGCATACCACTTGAGACTATCTTTCAGCTGATTTGAGTCTTGTATCCTTAGGCTGTGATCTTCTCTGCTGATGACTATGTGGGTGTTATGGTTTGTGTTTAGATGTCCCCCCAAAGTCTCACGCAGTCTCCTGGGAGCTTCCAGAATTTGTGATTGATTCACGGTCCAGCGCTGGGATAAAGGAGTGGACAGGAGAAGCCTACATACACATGAGGCAGAAAGAGTCCTCTCCGCACAGTTCCCTTTTTGTTTATGTTACTTTTTCTGTTTTTCTGCCACCGTGAACTGTCGTCCTCTGCCATGAGCCGCTCTGCCTTGGACCCAGAAGATTACGGACTGAAACCTCCACAGACTTTGAGCTAAATAAACGTTTCCTTCCTTCATTTAGACATTAAGTATTTTGTCTCAGCAATGAGAGAAAAGTAACCAAGATGGCGGGTTATGACTAATAATCTATTTTGTCTGATATTAAAATGCTCACCCGATTCTCCTGGCTCATCTTTGGCTGTTATTCAGTTTGCCATGCTGCATGTATCTGGGTACTCATGCTGGCGGTGTGTGTGTGTGTGTGTGTGCACGTGCATGCACACGCATGCACGTGTGCACACAAAGAGAAACCTGATCCTTGGAGATTCCTCTTATTCTTATAAGCTTGTCAATGCTTTGAAAAATATATTTTACCTGTGACCCAAATATTCTATAAGAAGATCCTCAAGAATATTTGGTCAGCCACAATTTCCAAAGCAGAAGTTTGTGTGTTTTTTCGTATGTACACAACCCTGTATGTGCACGCTGATGTGTTTCAAACCTCTGGGTGTGTACACTGCTCTATGCATACATGACAGTGTGTGTTTGGTGTCTTCTAAGGACTTGCGCTCATCAGGTTCCTCGTCACCTCCTGACAACCTCACTGTACTTTTGTGGACAAAGCAAGCTCTGGTTGCTGCTGGGCTTAGAGCTGGGGAGAGAGGGATCCTGGGGAAAGCCGCCTTAGGCCAAGCCCCTCCTCACTGGGTCTCTCTGGCCCCCTCTGCCTTTCCACAGCTCTGCCCCCGAGGACTGCACGTCCTTCAGCATCCGTGCCCCCCCAGGAGTGGTAGTGGATGTCACCAACAGCACTCCAGCCAAGAAGAATCCCACAGGGTCCTCCAAATGGCCCCTAGACCCTAAGCTGGAGGTGACCCTGAGGATGAACGCTGTCAGCAGTAGCCTAGGTGACCAGAAGGTGAGTGTGGCAGCCGTGGAATGAAAGTGTGCCAGCCCATCAGCCAGCCAGCCAGCAGCCACACCCGTGCCGGCACAGTGCTGGCCCCACAGAGCCTTCTTCCCTCTGGAAAAGCTCCCGATGGCTTCTCGAACCCAAGGGTCCCACAGACAGTAACTCAGGGCTGGAGTTTCTGGGACCAGGGTCTTGACTCCACCCATTCAGTCCGTGTTCTCCTGGGTGGGCAGGGCTGCAGGGCCTGAGCCCTGCGAGTGGCACAAAGTTGGCACAGGCCCTCTGCCACTGAGTGCACCTCCTAGCCTTTCTTGGAGGCTAGGTGTTTGCAAAGGGCGCTGGTGTTTGCAAATCTTAGCGGCACCTTCCGGAAGCACCGGGGCTTCCTGTTTCACAGTGCCCGGGGGTGACTTGAGGTCTTTCCTCCAACCCTTCTGCTTGATGGAGCCTGAACTGTGGCTCCTAACAGCACTGCTCCCCCCTCACCATCTCCATCTACCGACCCTCTGCTCCCCACTCCCAAATCTACTCAAGTGGTACTCTGCAAACCTTCCCCGGCCCTTTTTCCCAGGCAGGGCAAGTCCCTCCGTTTCTGGGCTCCCATGGGACCTTCTTTTATGACACAGTAGTCATCAGCACTCAGCTCAGCTGAGCTGGCAGACAGCGGGAGTCCAGTCAGTGTTTGCTGAATGACTAAGAGAAGTCACTTATGCTCTACTGCTATCTTGCAGGTTCAAATTTCATACTGTGGACCTAAGAGCCCTGCAGTGCAGGCCATGCTGTACCTCACAGGTGTGGGTAAGTGCTGCACTCTCCAGCTGGGGGTGAGGGGACTTGGATTATCGCATCTTCGTTTATTTCTCAAGTCCAGCAATCCCTTTATACTCATATGCTCATATTTATTTAATATTCTTCTTCAAATATAACTCACCGGGGTCCAGGAGTTGGAGACCAGCCTCGGTTACATTGCAAGACTTGATCCCTTAAAAATAATTTTTAAAGAACTGGATGTGGTGGTGCGCACTGCAATCCCCACACTTGAGAGGCTGAAGCAGGAGGATCAAAATGCAAGGCCAGCCTGGCCACATCGTGTGACAGTCTCAGAAATCAAGACAACAGCAAGGACAAAACCCATTTTTAAATTGGCTTCATCTTAAGCAACGTCATGCTGTTTTTGTTTAAGTGTGCATTAAGCATGCTAATAACCTGGAACTTCTAGGTTTTGTTTTAATAACAAGTCCTGTTCAGGAACATACATTTAAATAATAGTAAAGTATTACTAATGTGACTTTGTGCCAGGTCACATTAGTTTGGACAGCAATCCTGAGAATTTGGTGCTGTTATTATCCCATTTTCCAGATGAGGCAGTTGAGGTGCAAGAGATAGCCTCACCCAAGGTCGCACAGCTAGTTAGTGAAGCAGTGCAGAGGTCCCAGCCACCGTGGACTCTGCTGCCCATCCCTGCACTACTGTGTGGGTGGCTGCTCCTAAATCAGGCCAGTCCTCTCAGGACAGGGGTCCTTGTACCACCAGTAGAATGAGCATGGTCAGAGGTTCCCACAGCCTGGGCACTGGGCTGCGATTTGTCCCCCACGTAGACACACACAGGTAAGTAAGAGTGGGTGCAGGAGGTGTAACCACTCCAGTGACTGGGGACCTGGCAAGATGTCCTTGCAGGGCTTCCTGTGGACCCTTTATGGGGGTGGTGGGAATTCTTCTGGAATCCTACTTTAACTGGGGTGATCAGACCCTCAAGTCTTGTGGGCACCCCAGCCATGGCCCCCTGAAGCACAGGAAATGTCAGGAGCTCGCTGAACTGCAGCCAGACTTCTGTCCCCTCTGAAAAAGGCGAGACTCTTCCGCTCGGCGTGGGCCTTCTCCTGCAGAGACTTGGTCCCCTTTGACCAGGCTGAATGCCTCCACCCCGTGCCCTCACCAACGCTCCCCTCTTATTTATGGAATTTCAGAAATCTCCCTGCTGGCAGATGTCACCCGCTCTGGCAAAGTGAAGCCAACCAGATCCATGAAGGACCAGGTACCCGCTCCGCCTTGACCAGCATCCAAAGACTCCCTTTGCCCTGCTGGGTTCTCCTGCCGCGCCCCCTGGTGGACATGGGGCCAACGGCAGGCCATCTCACGTTTCCCATGCTGACCGTCAACAGTTCGGGAAGAGAGAGAATATTTTAGTTTCTACCCTATATATCCCATGTCCTTTACAAGCCCGTAATTGTCACTGATTGTGGCCTCAGAATCTCTAGAATATATACTGGGTCACCCAGTTAAATGCACCCTAGAGAAAGTATTTGGATCTTGGGTTGGCATCTCCCAAACCAGGTGTAGTGATGCACACACCTGTTATCCCAGCGCTTGGGAGGCTGAAGCAGGAGGATCACGAATTGGATGCCAGGCTCAACTTTATAAGAAGAGCTTGTCTCAAAAAAAAGAAAGGAAGGGAAGGAAAAGGAAAAAAGCCAATCAGAAGCGCAGGAAGGAGCTGGGCTATAGCTCAGTGGCAGAGTGTTTGCCTAGATGACCGTGACCCTGGGATCCATCCTCAGTACCACAAAATAAAAACAAACAAACAAACAAAAAACAAGCAAGCCATTTTTTCCACTTTTTATTTTGAGACAGGCCCTCACTAAGTTAGTTGTCTGGCTGGGTTCCCTCTTGAGATCCTCCTGCCTCAGCTGCATGCCAACAAAAAGTTTTTAGTGTGGGACCCAATGACTACCCCACAGCCGCTCCCCGGAGCAAACACTGTCCTGTAAAGGAGGCATCATCACTTTTAGGTCCCCACAGGGTGGGGTCACTTAATTTACTTTCATCTTTGGGCAGAGACTGGCTCAGAACAGCAACCACCCTGAGGGACGGTAATTAAGGGTTCACAGACTGTCACAGCTTCATTATTTTGTGAGTCCAACCTTTTTTTAAGGCTGTTAAAATCCAGTTTACTGCCTTCTGGGCTCCTACTTTTAAATGGAAGAATTCCATTTGAGCAGAATCTGCTGATGACTATCGGAAACTCACTCTCGGAACCTGATCCCTGGTGTGGGCACAGGATGGTGCGGCACAGAGGTTTGGGGTGACAGAGGTGGAGGGGTCCACCCCAGTCCTGAGCGGGCTCCTCTCCTCCAGGCTTTGCAGAGCAGCTGGACCTGGGGCCCCTCCGGACAGGGCGCCATCCTGCTGGTGAACTGTGACAGGGACAATCCCAAGTCCTCCAGCATGGACTATGAGGACGAGGAGGTGTTTGACAGAAAAGGTAAAAATCCTCCGCTGGGTGACGGGGCTGGCTTCCTTTCTCCACAGCCTTTTTTTGTCCACGGGGCCGGAGCTCGGGGACAGCCCTCGGAAGCTGGGCTACTGAGTGTGTGGTCTCCTCAGGTTGAAATGGACAGTGGTCCCTGCCCAAGGTCACCCGGTAGCTGACGAGCAGAGCCCCACACTGAGTCCCTGCCGCCCCCTGCCCAACCTGAATGTCTGCAGTTGGCTCAGACCTGGGGCCCAAAAGCAATCCTGTCCCAGTCACTCCTGGACCCCTGAGCCCTGACGAACTCATTTGCCCCTTCAGTCCTTTGACTAATGGCTGGGGAAGCCACGGCCGGGCACAGAGAAGTTAAGCAACTCATTCCAGGTCACACAGCTAACAAGTAGCAGACTCTGGATTTGCACCCAGCCACGCTGACACCGGACCCACCTGCCCTGGAGGGGGCGCTAAGGGGCAGTGGCCAGGGTCTTCCTGGGGCAGCTCGGGCCATGCACAGAGGGGATCGGGTGCCTGCCATGTGCTGTCACTGTCCCAGGGCCTGGGGACACAGCAGCCAACAGAACACTCAGTCCCTGCTCCACTGAGGGAACCAGAGACTTCAGAATGGAAACGCTGTTTACCTTCGAAGAAACTCGACTGGCTGTGGGATGGCAGGTGCGGAATGGCCGGACCGCACCAGGAGGGGAGACTGGCCGGTGACTCGGGGGTCTTATTCCAGACCTGCAGGACATGTCGCTCATGACCCTGAGCACGAAGACCCCCAAAGACTTCTTCACCAAGCACCGGCTGCTGCTGCACGTGGCCAGGTCGGAGATGGACAGAGTGAGGGTCTTCCAGGCCATGCGTGAGTGTCCCTGCCTCTGCGCTGCCTCCCCCTGCGCCCCGCAGACTCCCCTGTGTGGCACAACTCCCAAGGGGCTGCCAGGTGCTGGGCTCTAAAGCCAGGGACAAGGCTGTGAGCCAGGCGGCGGCTCTGTGCGTGCCCTTCTAGACGAGGCCGCGGGCTCTCTGTCCAGGGAAGGAAACCATGGCTGTGACACTGACCCTGCCCTGTCCCTTGTACCTCACTGGGCTGGGAAGGACGTCTGGCGGATACTAAGCAGAGCACTTAGGGTCTGGCACGAGATGCAGCAGGAGAGGGACCGCATGCAGGGAGGGTGCCAGGTGGCTTCCCCTGGAGGTACCATCTGAGCAGAGGATGGGCAGAGACAACCACAGGACACCGCAGGGAAGGGCACGCAGGAGGCAGGAACAGCATGCAAAGGCCCGGAGATGCTGCCTCCTCCAGGAAGGCCCCCAGGGTTCCTTCCATCACAGTGCTTAGAGATGGCTAAACTGCAATAACCTTTCTCCTCCCTGGGTGAGGACAGGGAGACAGTGACTCTGTCACCTTAGTGGCCCCCTGTGCCAACCCTCAGGATCACCTTAGATCTGGATAGCGTAGTTGTCCAAGAAAGAATGAGTGGGTGAGCGACGGGTGGACTCCTGTGACGTGCCCCCCAGCCAGGGAGCAGCCACGGGAGGTGCCATGGGGTGGGTGGGGGCACCAGGGAGAGGGGACCAGGGGGAGAGCTTGGGGGCAGAGTGCTTGTAAGTGTGTGAGAGGTTCTGGGTCCCCAGCACCCCAAGGATGGAGGAAGAGGAAGAGCAGGAGGAGGAGGAGGGGAAGGGAAGGGGAGAAAAAGGCCACTGAGCAGAAAGGAGGTCTCAGGAGGGACACAGACCTGAGCCTGCCCGCCTCTGTCTAGGGGACGAGCTGCCCTGTAAATACAAGGCGGTCCTGGGGCCCCAGCAGCCGTGCCACCCCCTGGCCCTCCCCGGCGGCCAGAGCAGCACAGACTTCTACGTGGAGGGGCTCGCTTTCCCGGACGCTGACTTTCCGGGGCTCATTTCCCTCGGTGTCTCCCTGCTGGACACCTCCAACCGGGTAGGTCAAGCGGGGGTGGCGACACCTCCAACCGGGTAGGTCAAGCGGGGGTGGCGGCCTGGCTAGGGGGGTGCGGAGCCCCCCAGGATGTGGCAGGGAGTGACAGCCCTGCTCTCCCCTGCCCCTGCAGGAGCTCCCCGAGGCCCTGGTTTTCCAGGACAGCGTGACCTTCCGCGTGGCCCCCTGGATCATGACCCCCAACACCCAGCCCCCCCTGCAGGTGTACGTGTGCAGGTGAGGGCCCTGGCACAGCCCGCTCCATGACGCAGTCTTGCCCTGAGCTACTGGCAGCTTCTGGCGGGCTGGGGACCATGAAAGGTCAGGGTCTGGGCAACTCCCTGATTAGCACACCCCGACCCGAATTAGAAATAAAAACAGCTGGGGAGGTCGTTCAGGGCGCAGGTTCAACCCGACCGTCTCAGGAGGCAGGAGCCTGGGCAGTGGCCGCCTCGGTGTCCTGCCCGGGTGCATCGCTGAGGGGGCTCCACGACATGAATCCTGCCAAGAACAGACACACAGGACAAAGCAGCAGCCCCTGCCCAGGCCACAGCGTCTCAGGGGCCCCCGTGTCACCGGCCCCAGTGCCCTGCCTGTCTGTACTGAGGATCCCAGGCCACTGCTCTGCTCTCCCTAGTTTTTTTGGAAATGAAGACTTCGTGAAGTCGGTGACTGCCCTGGCCAAGAAGGCCAAGTGCAGGGTGACCATCTGCCCGCAGGAGGAGAATCAGGACGACCAGTGGATGCAAGTGTGTGGCCCCGCCTGGTGGACAGGGAGAGGGGACCCCTCAGTGTCCTTGCCCAAGGTGGCTCAGGCCACCAATTCACTGACTTTCGTCACAGGCACCTGTGACTCCATCCCACGAGCCTCCCTGGTGAAGCCCGGTGGAAAGTACCCCCCCTTCCCGGCTCACCCCGCCTGACCATGCCGCACCCCCATTCCAACACTTTTTGTGGCTCCCACCCCCCTCAGCTGCTTCCAGGGTCCGCTCCACCGGACCACCTCCCTCCGCTGGCACCACCATGTTGCCATCCTGTCCCTGGCCCTACTGAGCCCCAGCCCCTCCCTGCCCTGCCCTGGCCCCTCTGCCCTCCAAGACGTCTCCGAGGCTCCCACCCCCACTACCCCTCCTGCTGCCCGCCATGGGGTTCTGTGGTGCCTGCAGTGGGGACACCCCCCTCCTCCTGGTCCCCTAAACCCCTTCCTCTCTGTCTCCCTTTGAGATGCTGGGCTGAACCATGGCCTGCTCATGGACCCTCTGCCACCTGGGAGCCGGGAAGCAGAGGCACACAGTTCCTCCTGTCAGGGACTAATGACAGGGACTGGGCCCGGACCAGCCTGGCACAAGCCCCTGGAGGCCTCATTCCCTGAGGGCGAGGCCTGGCCTTCCTGCCTTCGCAGGGCAGGACGGGGCTCAGTTGCCCTCCCAGTGGGGGCCTTCTCCACCCTCCCAGCACTCTGGGTGCCCCCCGGGGATCCCCAACCCTGACCCCCACCTCCTGACACCAGATGCTCACTCCAGGGTCCTTAGGACAGAGCTGTCCTGTCCACTGTGGTCCCCGAAGAGCCCGGGGTGCCAAAAGGGTGTGGTTTCCCCGCACCTGGTGCACAGGACAGTTACAGGACAAACGCTCTGCTCCTTAGAGCCCTTCTCTGGGGTCACACGTGTCACGGGGGTTTGCTCCTGACGTGGCAGTCCCACGCCTGTCGGGGTGCCTCCACCCCAGCAGCGCAGGACTGAGCCCCACCCTCCCCCCTGCGCAGGACGAGATGGAGATCGGCTACGTCCAGGCGCCGCACAGGACGATGCCCGTGGTGTTCGACTCCCCGAGGAACCGGGGCCTGAAGGACTTCCCCTCCAAATGCGTCCTGGTACAGCGCGGGTGGCGTGGCCCTTTCCTGTCCACCTGGGTCCCAGGCCGCGGGGCTCTGAGGGCGGAACTCGGGCCCAGCAGATCCCACGGGTGGGGCCGGTACTGGCTCGGTCAGATAAGATCGGGCTCTCCCTGCCCCCAGCACTTGCACCAGGGGCTCCGGTGACCCAGGTTACCCGGGGCTGCTGGGTCCATGTCCATTTCTTAGAAGGGGCTTTATCAGTTGAAGTGTCCACGTGGCAGGAGTGGCCCTGGTGAGTCACACTTGACTAAGCTGGCAGGTTGATGCAGATTCAGCACAGAGCAATCCTGACACTGCTACTACTAATAATGGGTGCACTTACTGGGCATGCCTTTCGGGCCAGTCATGCTGCCCAGCTCCTTACATGCACTGACTCATTTAATTCCAAGATGTTTTATGGAGATGCTATCAGTCAGCCCATTTTGCAGATGAAGAAACCGAGGCTTCAGAGTACAGATGTCAGAGTTCAAACCAGGCCAGTGTGGAGCAAACCCTTCTCCACCCAGCTGTTCTGCTTTCCTAGGAAGATCCATGCTGGCACACCGAGCCCTGGCACCCAGAGAAAGCCAAGGACGGAGAGTGATGTGCAAGGGTTGCCAAGATGAGCGGCTTCCGGGGTGGCATCCTGCGCCCCAGGGAAGAGGAGGCGGCCTTGCCCACGCCAGAGGCTCCGGGAGGCTTCAGCTTGCTCAGCTGCTGGCCTTACTTCCGCCCAGCCCTGGCCCACCGGCAGTGGAGTTACAGGATGCGGAGATTTTGGTGGATTCTTCGGCCGGGTGCACCCCATTTTGGGAGTACTGGGGTCAATCATCAACCAGCACTGTGACTTGTCCTTGATCTCCGGTTCCAGTCCTGTCTTGTTTGGTGGCTGTGATACTCCACGTGACAAAAGCCAGGTTCTTCAGGGTCACCCTGCTGGACAGATGGACCCTCAGCACACGCACCCCACCCTCCCTGCGGACAGCCATGAAATAAAGGAGCTACAGCAGTGCCCGGGGACACCTGAAGCATTTGGCCCGAGTCATTCAGAGTTAAAAGGATACAGAGCAAAACTTGTCACGAGGGCTCTCATGCATGTCGCCTGCTTCTCCAGCATCATCATGGGCCACTCGCCCTGTCCCCTACCTGGCCGCAGCTCCCTGGATGCTTTTCTGTTCTCTTCCCCTTCCCCTCACCTCAGGACCTTTGCACATGCTGTTCCTCCTGCCTGTTTCAAGGCTGGCTGAGGTGCCACCTCCTGGTCTCAGCTTCAACGTCCTCTTCAGCACAACCATCGCCAGCTCCTCCAAGGCACCACTCCAGCCCCCTGGGTGTGTCTTCGAGCATGTCTTCACAAATCACTTCCTTGTTTATTTGATGCTCTGCTGCATGAGGGCAGGCTTGTCACTGTACACCAGGGTCTCGCTGGGGACTAGACACATAGTGGTGTCCTGTCCGCTAAAACAATGGCCCTGAATCCTTCGTCACCACTGTGATTGGGAAACCTCAGCATGACGGAAGCCACTGTCCACTTCAACAAAATTAAAGTCAGCTCCCTCCAGATGGCTGCAAAGGCTTGCTGGCCTCTGTGAGGCCATCTGTACAGAGCAAGACAAACCTAAGGTGGCATCCAGGCCATGTGAATGGGGGTCACTGCCCCAACTCCCAAAGGGGAGGCCAGAGGGAGGGCCGGTCAGCAGTTCCACGTGGGGCTGGCAGGAAGTCCCAGCGGAACCGTGGTTGGCTCACGCGTGGAATTTCACGCGGAGACAGAGGAGAGGAAGGATTGGACCCCAGGAAGGAGCCTCGACAAGGGTACAGGTCTTTGATTTGTAGAAGGTTAGAATTGGGGTGCAGCCTTTCTGGGGGTGACGGTGCCTCGGAGATGTCCCAGCTCTATCCAGAGAACCTGGTGTCCCCTCCCGGGCCAGAGGGACTCTGCCGGTGTGACCAGTTAGGAATGGCAATTGGATGGCCCGCTCCTTTACAGGCAGGGAAAGCAGGGGACAAGGGAGGAGGGGAGCAGCGTGGGCACTGCCCTCGGGGCCCAGGAGGAGGAGCCACACCCGGGCAGCCTCTGGAAGCCGAAACGCACCAAGACACGGATCCTCCTGCAGCACCTCGGAAGGAAGCAGCCTCCCTGCCTTGACTTGAACCCGGCACCGAGAGACCGGCTCGAGCAGCGGCTGGAGAACTGTGTTATTTTAAGCCACAAACTTGATGGCGATTTGCTGCAGCAACCAACACGGGCACAGGCGTGACAGCTGTGTCCCTGCTTCTTTCCTGACCATGCACATGAAGTCGTGCCCATGCCCAGGAGCTCGTTCTAGCCCCAGTCAGCGTGCAGCGTGCTGGGAATGGGAGCTCGGCTGGCACAGCAGGGCTGGGCGCTGTGTCTCCCCTCTCGGAGGGTGGTTTTTTCATGCCCAAAGTGAGACACTTTGAAGACCTGTCACTAAGCCCGAGTGAAGGTCACGAACACTAGGGACACAGCTAATGCCAGTCGCTCTCCTCGCCCGCATCCTCTGACCTCCCCTGCACATCCTGAGAGTGGTGACAGACCCCAGTTCCTTCCCTGGACCAGTCTGCCTCTACACCTGCACCTGCCCTCTCTCCACAGGGATGGGGGGTCTCTATCGCTCCCCAACTTCTTCCACTGCAGGGCCCAAATTTTGGCTACGTGACCCGAGGGCCAGTCACAGGGGCAGTCACCGGGCTGGATTCTTTCGGGAACCTGGAAGTGAGCCCTCCAGTGACCGTCGGGCAGAAGGAGTACCCGCTGGGCAGGATCCTCATGGGGAGCAGCTGCTACCCCAGGTGAGGAGGGGTGGCCCAGACCCAGGAGGCACAGAAAGGCCGGAGCCAGTGGGGGACCTCCCCTACCTCTCCCCAAGCAAGAGGGCTCCATAAACACTGGGCAGCAGGAGAAGAGGCCAGGTTCAGGGCAAAGAGCCCAGGGGACCTAAGTTTAAGTTCTGAGACTGTCACTTACAGTCAGTCATCAGTGAATATTTACTGAGCATCTATTATGTGCTGGGATCTGGGGATGCAGCTGTGAAGTCCCTGCCACTATGCTAGCAGATAATAGAACAGTAAACAAATCAGACCATTTTGAATGGTGAAGAAAACAAAAGGACAGAAGAGGTGTGGGACCTGTATTAGCATGAGCAGAGAAGTCCACTCTGGGAAAAGGCCTTCAACAAGGCCATGTGCAGGGATGTGGCCATGTGCGGTTCTGGCATCTGATAGAGCAGTGCAAAGGTCCTGGGGGCAGTACTGAGTTTAAGAAGACCAGGCTGTTGGGGCAGCCTGAGCAAGAGAAAGAGCAGGGAACTCAATCACAGAGGAACTTTCAGGAGAAAATGCAGGCACAGAGAGGGAAGAAATGTCCGCAAGACAGCTCACATAAGGTCCTCAACTCGGGACACTAACTCAGTCAATTTGAGTCAGCTGAAGGTCTCATGTTTATACTGGCACCCAGGCTGATTCAACAGGCTGTGCTGAGGCCAGGTGCTGGTCCCCTCTGCCTCAGTGACTCTGTGCCTCAGTTTCCCCTCAATGAACTGGAATGACAGTTCCTAAATTTCTCAGATGTGAAGTTATACGAAGGCATTCCGGGCTCCTGCATTCCTTCCCTCGCTGGAGGGGAACCCTGACTCCCTTGCAAACCTCTACCTCCTGGTGGGCCCCCATTGCCCCCCCCCCCCGAATTATACTTCTTTGTGCCTGCTGGCAGCAAGGGGAGCCGGGAGGTGCACCAGGCCCTGCAGGACTTCCTGGCCGCGCAGCGGGTGCAGGCGCCCGTGCGGCTCTACTCGGACTGGCTGTTCGTGGGCCACGTGGACGAGTTCCTGAGCTTCGTGCCAGCGCCGGACCAGAAGGTGTGGTGTGGGGAAGTCATCTGGCCCCCTGGGGTCTCGGGACAGCTCTGCCCTCTGCCTGGGGCCTGACCTTTCCTGCCTGCCTGCTGCTCTCTGGGGATGGGGCTCGAGGGGCAGAGGCCTCTCTTCTGGGGAGCCCCCGGCACAGCCCGCTCTGACCCAGCATTTCCCCTCTAGGGCTTCCGGCTGCTCCTGGCCAGCCCCAGGTGCTGCTATCGGCTGTTCCAGGAGCAGCAGCGGCAGGGCCACGGGGAGGTGCTGCTGTGGGAAGGGCTCCAGAGTAAGTTGGCGACACTGTGCTGTCTGGGCGCCTTGCCTGCCTGCCGTGGGCTTATAGGGGGATGTGGGCGGGGCTGCAGGATGTATGGGAGGAGCTCCAGGAGATGTGGGCGGAGCTGTAGGATGTATGGGAGGAGCTCCAGGAGGTGTGGGCGGAGCTCTAGGGTATATGGGAGGAGCTCCAGGTGTGGGCAGAGCTGTAGGATGTATGGGAGGAGCTCCAGGAGGTGTGGGCGGAGCTGTAGGATGTATGGGAGGAGCTCCAGGAGGTGTGGGCAGAGCTGTAGGATGTATGGGAGGAGCTCCAGGAGGTGTGGGCGGAGCTCTAGGGTATATGGGAGGAGCTCCAGGTGTGGGCAGAGCTGTAGGATGTATGGGAGGAGCTCCAGGAGGTGTGAGCGGAGCTGTAGGATTATGGGAGGAGCTCCAGGAGGTGTGGGTGGAGCTGTAGGATGTATGGGAGGAGCTCCAGGAGGTGTGGGCGGAGCTGTAGGATTATGGGAGGAGCTCCAGGAGGTGTGGGCGGAGCTGTAGGATGTATGGGAGGAGCTCCAGGAGGTGTGGGCGGAGCTCTAGGGTACATGGGAGGAGCTCCAGGTGTGGGCAGAGCTGTAGGATGTATGGGAGGAGCTCCAGGGGGTGTGGGCGGAGCTCTAGGGTACATGGGAGGAGCTCCGGGTGTGGGCGGAGCTGCAAGATGTATGGGAGGAGCCCCAGGAGTTGTGGGCGGAGCTCTAGGATACATGGGAGGAGCTCCAGGTGTGGGCAGAGCTGTAGGATGTATGGGAGGAGCTCCAGGAGGTGTGGGTGGAGCTCTAGGGTACATGGGAGGAGCTCCAGGTGTGGGCAGAGCTGTAGGATGTATGGGAGGAGCTCCAGAAGGTGTGGGTGGAGCTCTAGGGTACATGGGAGGAGCTCCAGGTGTGGGGCGGAGCTGCAGGATGTATGGGAGGAGCTCCAGGAGGTGTGGGCGGAGCTCCTTGGTGAAGGTGTAGGAGGAGCCCAAAAGATGAGCAGCCGCTGGCCAGCCGCGTGGGACAGTGAGGAGAGGGAGGAGACGCTACACACACAGCAGTAAACCTGAAATCTCCAAGGCAGGAAAGCAAGATGCTCTTGAGGTGCTGGGAAAAGCCCCGTGTGGCTGGAGCGTGGGTGAAATACTATTCAGGAGGGCAATGGAGGCCCACCAGGAGGTAGAGGTGAATGAGCCTCTGTGGCTGACCGTTTTCACCTAGCAAGAGGGAGGCGTGACGTGTGTCTCCTCCTGTCAGTTGTCTTCATTGTTTTCTGCTTATTTATGGAGGCAGCCTTGGGCACGCGACCTCCTGTGTGCGAGGCAAGCGCTCTACGGCTGGCTGCACCTCTCCTGAGATTTTCTCCTTTCTAAACTCCATCTTTTGGGAGAGAACAGAACTTTGGGGGCTGGGACAAGATTTTTAAAGAGCTTTTGCTGCACCCACAGCAAACCTGAGCATCAGGGGCTACTACTGCCCCATTTCACAGACAGGGCCACTGAGTCCCCTGTATGGCTCCCAAAGGAGAGGGGGAACTGCTGGATTCGTTTTTGTTTTTCCATGACAGAGAAAAAGGAGCAGAAAATAAAAGACATTCTATCAGACAAGGAATTGAAAGAGCAGAACTCCTATGCGCAGGTACGGAGCCAGGGGTGCTGGAGATGAACGCCCTTGGCAGACCCAAGCCCCTGCCCAGCCTCCTGCCGCTGTGACAGGAGCCCTCATGGGCTGCCATGGAGGGAGAGGCAGAGAGCAGGAGGAATGCCCCTGGGGGTCCCCGAGAGCCCCTGTCTCTGCCTCCCACCTCCTACTTGGTCTGTCCCTTGTCCGCCTCCCCAGAGCTGCATCGACTGGAACCGTGAGGTGCTGAAGCGGGAGCTGGGCCTGGCAGAGGCTGACATCATCGACATCCCGCAACTCTTCAAGCTCTTGAGGGACGCCAGGGGCTGCTTCAAGGCCAAGGCCTTCTTCCCCAACATGGTGAGGAGGTGCAGCCTTCTCCAGCCCTTCGGGATGGCATGAAGCCGGGGCACAGTCAGGAGGAATTCAGAGGGGCCAGGAGGGTCGTATTCAGCTTCTGGGCTGCTCCCGCCCTGCCCGCTGGGAGTCGCGGTCTGTGGGTGACTCTGCTCACAGGTGACGCACAGGGGCAGGGCCCACGTACACGGCACAGCTGGTGAGGGTAGCAGTTTGGAGGTGGCTTCGAAGCCAGCTGCAGGCCCCGAGTGCTAACCATCGTGGCATTGCTGCCCACTGAGGGGCTGGGTGGGCAGAGTGAAGCCACAGATGATGCTCTGAACCGCACTGAGGGCACAGAGGGACCCTTGGGACACTGCCCCACCTGGGCGCTCCAGACACCTCCCGAGGTGGGGCTGGACGCAGGCTTCCGAAGGGTGCACACCTTTGTCGGGAACTCAGCTGTGCTCCCAGGTACTATCATTTCACGGCCTCTGTGGTTTGCTCTACACCTAGTTCTTCTGGGACTGGAGGTTACAGTGCAGGGAGGAGCCAGCAGTCCCCACCCAGCACATTGATTTGCAAACTGGGTTCCCCGGAGTCCTGGGATCCCCAGGCAGTGCCCCACGCCTGGTGGTTTGGGTTATGTTTCCCATACTGGACTTCTGCAGAGGATTTTGTTTAGAAAGAAGCCTTCCTTGACCTGAAGGAACCTGCTCTTAGCTAACTGTAGCAGTGGACATCAGCTCATCTTGCTGATGAGGATCAGAGAGAGACAATGACCTGCTTAAGGTCACACAGCTGTTGAGGAGAGGAGCAAAGGTATAAACTCACACTGGCCTGCAGCCCAGCCCTCACCCTTCTGCTCACCTGGAAAGAGGGTCCTTAATGGGAGTTGTAATATGCAGAACACCCTGTGACACAGGTAGTGTCCATTTCTCATTCAGCAGATATTTAGTAAGCACCTGCTGTGTGCAGACACCATGCTGAGAGGCAGGGACCATGGAGAGCAAGTGGTTGGAGTTTGTGAGCAGCTCTCCAGAGGGAGTGGCATTTGAGCTGGCCCTTACCAGAAGGCGGCAGTCAAGGAGGACATTGTGATGGACCCTCGAGCCCAACAGACTTGAATGAAATCTGAGGATTCCCAGGTGGCCTTGGGTGACCAGTTTTACCTACCCAGCCCTCAGTTTCCTCATATGTACAATGAGGCCATTATTACTGAAGGTCAGAGAAAGGTGGGGTACATGGACAGTGATGCAGGTTGTGCACTGCTGCCTCGGAGCTGAGCCCCCCACTTCTTTGCAGGTGAATATGCTGGTGCTGGGGAAGTACCTGGGCATCCCCAAGCCCTTTGGACCGGTCATCAACGGCCGCTGCTGCCTGGAAGAGAAGGTGTGCTCACTGCTGGAGCCGCTGGGCCTCCACTGCACCTTCATTGATGACTACCACAGTTACCACGTGTACCATGGGGAGGTGCACTGCGGCACCAACGTGCACCGGAAGCCCTTTGCCTTCAAGTGGTGGCACATGGTGCCCTGAGCCACCTGCCCTGGTGGCCTCTCCAGTACCCGAAGTTCCAGGAGGCTCGCTGCCTCCTACTTGGCCCCCCCCTCACCCGCTATGCCCCCCAAACTGGTTCCAGCATCAAAAACAGCCCTGCACTAAGAAGCCGCAATAAAGATGTTTTTTGTCACTTTCTACCTGAGGTCACAAAAGCCGTTCCTGTCATCCATCTAAACTAAACCAAGCTGCCAAGGGCTGGCGCGTAGTTTAGTACAGGACAATGCTCACCCAGCATGCAGGAGGCGATCGGTTACATCCCTAGTACTGAGAAAGTTTCAGGGTTTGGAGCATTTTAGATTTTTTTTAACTAGGGAATGCTTCACTGATAAAATCTGTGCTAACATTCCGAAATCCCAAAAACTCTGAAACCTGAAGAGCTTCGTGGCAAGCATTTTGGATGAAGGTTGCTCAGCCTGAAATCCATCTCTAGGTCAAAGTCACGGGGACAGGACACGGAGTGGTGGGGGTGGGGTTATGGGATGGGTTTGCAGTTTCAGATTTGCAGGATGCAAAGTGCTGGACATGTGATTTGCAATGGTTTGAATTTACCTGACACTATGCAACTATCCACGTGCTGTAAAAAAGCTAAAGGTGATCCATCTTGGTAGTGGCTTTTTGTTTTCTTTTTCTGTTTTTTTAACCAAAATAAAAAATGAAACTTGTATTTAAAAAAATGAAGCCTCTGCCCTGCCCACTAGGAATCCATTATGCCTGAGTTAAAAACAAGGTCTCTGATGAGAATCAGCTGCTCCCTCTAACGTTCACTCGGGTCGGGGTGCACGGGTTTCACGAGGGCCACGAGCCACACACACGTAGGTGTGAGGCCATGGAACAGCCCACGGGCCCCAGCAGAGGAGGCCTGAGGTCCTGCGGAACCCCTGGGCTGCCGAAGGTAGAAAGGAAAGCCTGGGTACAGAGGTTCTGCAATCGTGGGGTGTGCCCCTGCTGTCCGTGCATGGGGAAGCGGCTCTGAGGGGGCCAGGGAGCCCCAAGAGGAAACGCCAGCAGCCCGAAAGAGCATGGGGCCGCGCATGCTCATGACCGTGCCTGCTGCTAATGTAAACCACAGGGAGCCAGGACAGGCAGAATCCCGGGGGCAGCTGACGCTCTCCCCGGGGACCTCGGCCTCAACCCTTTGCAAGCCTAGGGGAGACTTGGGCGGGTTCTGATCATGAGTATGCAAGAAACAAAATTTAGCCCCCAGCCAGTGGTCGGAGGCCAGCCTGCATTGTAGTCCCCATAAAAACACAACAGTCATGGCAAATTAACCTCTCTTTTGTTTCTGTATTTGCCTAATAAACACTTGCTTCTGCCCTGGTCACTGGAACACCAAGCCGCATCCCAGTTCATGAATTGCTACTTGTTCAAATAAACTACATGGTACTGTGCCTCCGGATTTTACACCATCAAGCAAGAACTTGTTCCCCTTATGTCCCCAGAGGCACGGAGGTGTTCCCTGCTGCTGCTGTGACACAGGACCACAAACCAGATGGCTTAAAATCATAGACAAGGATTCTCTCTCAGTGCTGGAAGCCAGGGTCGAGGGCCTGTGAGGCCGCCCTCTCCTCTTCCTCCGGAGCAGAGCAACCAGAGCCTCCTCCTGCTGAGTCTGCCACTTTCAATACAACAGCTCGGGGTCTTTAGGGTCCTCCTGGGCAGCCCCTGCCTCCAAGAGCAGCTAAAGCAGGGCCAGCTGTGTTCACTGCCTAACGCCACCCACCAGAGAGGGGAATGTTTACTACAAATCCTGAGCCTAACAAGCTCAATCAATCTCCACGCCCTGGGTTTATACCGTACAGGTGACCTTAGTAGTGACAGGAAGCAGAAAGCCTGGAGGAACACTGACATACATCATGGTACACACAGCCCTAAGGAAAGACGTGGGTGTGGTGGCACACATCTGCAATCCCAGCTACTCAGAGGCTGAGGCAGGAGGATCGCAAATCCTGGCCCAGCCTAGACAATGTGGCGATTCAGACTCTGTCTCAAAAAATAAAAAGGACTATTGCTCAGTGGAAGAGCACCCCTGGGTTGATCTCCACCCTAAAAGAATAATGGTCCTTAGAAAAATAAAGGTAAGGAATGCTCTGTATCATATACTGTTTAGGTTAAAAGAAAAAAAAAAGAAAGGTATACATATATTTGCTTTGTCATGTAGGATATTTATATAGAAAGACAAAAAATAAATGATACCAGCTGCCCTCACAGGAAGGGACAGGGAGAATGTTGTGGGTCTTTTTACTTTTGAACTTAGAACTTTTGAACGGTGGCACCGATTCAAGAATAACCATAACCCAAATTTAGGGTAAAAAAATGAACATTTATTTTGAAGGAAGCTGGGTCAGTTTCCTATGCAGGAACATGAGTTCCTGTTTCTTCTTTTGATTGACCAATAATTGTATAAATTTATGGAGCCAAATGTGACATCCAGACCCATGCATACATGATAGAAAGTCTGTAAGTCGGTCATCATGCCTCGCTTCTCTGATGCTTCATTTCTTGTTCTGAGAACGTGAAGGGTCTGTTGGAGCAATCCTGAAATACGCAGACATTTTAAAGACTCCTGCATCTTTATTCTGTGGGCTGGGCAGAGCTAGACAGTGACCAGTGAGCTGGCCTCGAAGGGCGCCCCTCCCCGTTCACTCATTCCCCCGACTTGGGTCACATCTGTGAGAACCACATCACCTCATCACCTGGGAACTGGACACACCTGGGGCCTGCCAGGCCTAAGGCTTTGCGGTGCCAACCAGTGCTCCTGATTATTGTTCTTGTTTAAGATGGGCTTTTCCAATGCAGGCCTTGAATTCACAATCCTCCTGCCTCAGCCTCCCAAGTGCTGGGATTACAGCCATGCACCACCACACCTGAATTCCCTGATAATTGTAGCCTTGGTGGAGAAGAAGAGAGCAGTCACACGTGGCAGCTGTTGAAGCCACCCACGGCTTAACGAGGGGGTGGGCTGGAGAGGTCTCCACCCCATATCAGAGTGGGCAGGGCGGGTGCTGGGGAGAGCGGAGACTCCGGGGCTGTGTTACGGTGCAGGCTTCAGGGCGGTCAGCTGGGAAGGAGGCGCTATGTCCAACCAGAGTGTTGTCCACCTCTCCCTGGACGACCCTGCCCATGGTGTTTGTGTGCTGGGCACGAGCCTCGTCGTGGACGTCAGTGGGTGAGGCTCGGGGCCTCTGCGGGGCCGGCTCAGCAGGGAGCAGGGGCTTCATCCTTAGGGGCTGCCCGGCTTTGGGGGCCTGGCTTGGGTCTCTAGGGGCCCCCACAGTCCTGCCCCTGCCTGTTACACACTGTGTGCCCTAAGGAGGTAAGGGCTTCTGTCCCCTTTGGGTGTGACAAGGGGAAGCAGCCCTCCGAGAGGAGCAGGTAAAGGAGCCTTGGTCTCAGCCACTTTCCTGGGGTTACCATGCAAACCTCCAGCACCCCTTTGTCCCCTAGGGGGATCCCTTGTGGCTCTGACAAAAGCTCCTCCTGTCTTGGAGTTGTTGGAGGGGGACAGGGCCCTTGGAGGGTGGCGGAAGGCCGAGGTGGGTCGGGACCTCAAACCTGCGCTGACCCATAGTCTTCTACCTCAGTCCGGGGAAGATGGGGCCGTGTCACTCCCGCCTCCAGGCTGCACAGGTGGGGACCCTTGGTGTCCTGACGTCTGTCTCCCTGCTGGGTGAACCAGGTGTGCCCCCATGAACTGTGAGTCCTTCACAATTACCTGCTCCTCGAGGGTGCTGGTTGTCCTGAACAGCAAGGTGACCAGTGGGAAGGACAAAGGCATCATCTGGCACTCAATATCCGACCGCAGGCACGCGCTGGTGAGGATGGTGCTGCCCAGCTCCGAGCTTGATGAAGACAAGGTGAGCCTGGAGAGATGGGTGCCCGGGTGCCCCACGCCTCATCCCCCTGATGCATGGTCCGGCCAAAGTCTGAGAACCGTGAATGCTGTGTGTGTCTGAGTTCATTTACTGACTGATGACCCGTGAGGTGGGTGCTGTGTGGCCCCTTTTCCAGATGGAGAAACTGAGGCACCCAGAGAAGGGAGTGCTATGTCCCAGACAGTAATTGGCAGTGCAGGTTTGAGCTCCAGGAGCCTCGGGGAGTGCCGCACTGGCTTCCGGTCTGCTGTTGAATCTGGTCTAAAGATGGGCTTTGTGGCTCGCAAAAGGAGGGTGTGGCAGTCTGACTAAAGTTAGGAGGTGACCAATGTTAAATGCATGGTGCATGCTAGATACTGAGAATCACACTTGTCTATGTCCTGGAGAATTCCCAGAGAGGCGAGTGGTATGGTTGCCTAAGAACTGAGGTCTCCTTGGTAGATCAGAGGCTGTAATGTATCCCAGCTGGGCCCAGGCCACCTGCAGGCCGTTCTCTACTCAGCCTCCAGCACCGTCACAGTAGGCAGCAGACTGAGACCCTTGATCTTGGACAGATGCCTCCCTGTAGGGCCAGGAGGGGTGCCCACTTCTCTAGGGGCAGCTTGAACCAGGAGAGACCCCCACACACACACCCAGATCCCCACTCCCTACCTGTGTTCTTGTGTTGAACAATTTGCTTCAAGAGCTTTGAAAAGCAGGAGGTGGGTGTGGAATCGGGTACATGCCCACTATCTTAGAACTCTGGGAGGCTGAGGCAGGAGGATTGCAAGTTTGAGCCCTGCCTGGGCAATTTAGCAAGACCTGTCGCTACATTGGAAAGAAAGACAAGCCTGTGTGTGACCTAATGCTTGGCCCTGCCCCTGCCCGGTGTCCCACGGGCTCTGGGCACTGTCTCCACAGGTGCTGGTGTCGTACTACCGTGCCAACGAGGAGGCCCCATTGGCCACTGCAGTGCTGTACCTCACTGGCATCGGTGAGCCTCACCCGCACGGTGGAGAGCCGGGGGCCCTCGCCGAGCGGGAGGAAGTCTGAGGGGCTCTTTGCAAAACAAGACACTGCCTCGAAGCCCAAAGGGGCTCGGGTGAGACCCCTCCACACAGCCTCCCCATCCTCTCGCCCGCTGACCTGGTTCTCGGAGTGGGAGCAGTCAGCCCCTCACACCTGGCTCTCCTGCCCACCTGCTCCTGTCCGTACCTCCATTCCACCTCCTGCTGCTTCCAGTTCTTGCTAGGGAGAGAAGCCACTACCCACCTTCTTTGCTGGGACACACGCTGGCAGGAATTAAGATGTCACCATTGTCAAATCCATTCTGTTATCTTTCAATGTGAGGCACCACCCTTCTTGGGAGCCAGCTGCGGGTCCTCAGGTTCCCCTTGAATCTATTCAGATCTAATGCCCACTGCCACCAGTGCTCCTAGCTGGGGCTCTGCCTTCATTCCTACACTGCCACCTGCTCCACCTTCTCTTCCCATTCTGGCAGTAGTTGGTACACTTGTGTCCACCTTGACCACTTGGACCCTGCAGCCTCTCCCTCCTCAGGGCCTCATGGGCCTGGATTTGCCAGCTTCCTGGTGAGGTTTCAGGCCTGCGTGGGTCTCTCTGTCTCCTTCAGACTCCCAGGGCTGCTAGCCGGGCATCAGCCATGTGCTCCACTTAGAAGTTGCCCGTCCACCATTGTTTCTGGGTTCTATCTTGGTGACTCCCAAATTAAACAGACTTTACCCCCAATCCTCTTTTTCCAGCATGGGATGACTAGTGTCCCATCTCCTGCCTGTCTGGGCTGGCAGCCTGGCACGCTCACCCCGATCCAAGCCCCCCACCCCTCTCGCCTGGCTCGCTGCTGGGGTCTCCCAGTGGGATCCCCGCTACCAACCTTGCCTTTCTATGGGCCTAGGCTTCTATCCCCATGGTGCACCTGCAGGTTGATGGCCCTGGTTCCAGCCTTGGGCATTGGGGCCTGTCCAGCAGCCTGAGTGACTGAGTCTCTCCTGCTCTCTCCTCTCAGAGGTCTCCCTGCAGACAGATGTCTACCGTGACGGGCAACAAGAGATGCCAATCAACAAGCAGATCAAGGTGAGGCTGCTGTGATAGAGGCGTGGGCTGGGCTGAGATACAGGCCTGCTTTTTCACCGAGCTTTGGGGTATCTAAGGTTTAATTGCTCTACTGCAAGTAAAGACTTTAATTTCTGGCTTGCTCAAAAGCTAGCTAGCATGCAAGGCTAGGATGACCAGCTCCACTGCTAGGCCAGTCATACGGTCCATAAGACATGGTCAGCTGTTACCATCAGGCAGGATGTCTCTCCTACCCCCACTTCCCTAACGCTGAAGCGAGGTGTATAGGGGGCTGGCAACCTGTAACCAATGTCTGTCTCTCTTCTCTTGGCTCTGGGGGTGCCTGCTCAGCACCCCCTTCATGCCCCTACAGATTCCCTGCCTCACACTGTCCCAGACGCCCCCAGAGACCTGGAGAGGCTCTGCTCTGCTCAGGGCTCATGGCTTCTTCCTGAGCCTAAGTTTCCTATTGTTGCAGGAAAAGTGGGTGTGGGGACCCAGCGGCTGGGGCGCCGTCCTGCTTGTGAACTGCAGCCCGGCCGACCTGAGGCAGGAGAGCAAGATGGTGGTGTCAGAAGGTAGACCCCGCCTCTCCCCACCTTTTACTGCTGTGGGTCTCCCTTCTAGGTTGATCAAATCCTATTTTTCTTCTAAACTAAGGATTGAACCTAGGGGCCTCAGCACTAAGAAACGCCTCCAACTCTTTTTTGTCTCTTATGTAGTTCAGGCTGGCTTTGAACTCTGGCGATGGCCCTGCCTGAGCCTTCTCAGGGCTGGGATTATAAGAGTCAATTGTAAACTGCCCAGATCAGGCTCAAACTTGGAATTCTCTTGCCTTAGCTTCTGAGTTGGGATTACAGGCCTGTGCCACGGCCATGCCCAGCTTAATCAAATCTCTTAGCTGGGGAAGAGCTCTTGCTTAGCATGGCAGGTCCCACCCCCAGCAAACTGTGATGATGATGATGAATTGTCCCTTGTGGGTGCTCACAGTTGCTCAGAAAGAACATGGGCTGTGGTGTCTGCCAACAATAATTTTCCAGCTGTGAATTCGAGCGCATTAACTACCCTGGTCTTGTTTCTCCGTCTCTGATGTGTGGGGACAGACTGGCTTCACTGGGTGGTTGAGACTGAAGACCTAAACAGTGTTGCACAGAAACGTCCTCCTGAGAGCCTGGGATAGGGACACTGCCTACCTTAGGCAAAAACAGTCTTGGACCTGATCCTGACTTGGGGTGGGATTCTGGTCTTGTCAGACACAAACAATACCTGGGATTACCCCAAGGGTAGAGGTGAGCTGGGTGGTGGGGGGCCGGGGTAAGCGGCTCCCTGGCTTCAGAGGGTCTCTGAGGTTGGTAGCTTGCCGCTGGCTGTGTAGGGAGCAGCACGGGAGGCAGAGGGTCCTCCGTCCTCCTCCATGCAGGCCCCCACCCCCACATCACCCCAGTCCCTTTGCCTCGCCTTTGCTCAGATATAAAGGATCTATCCCAGATGACCCTGAATGTCAATGGCCCCAACTGTGCCTTAAAGAACTACCATCTGGTCCTCCACACCTCTGCAGAAGAAGCCGAGAAGACCAGAGTCTACTGGCCACAAGGTGAGGCAGCTGTCCACAGGGTCCTTTTAGCTGGGACGTGAGAACTGCCCCGTGCCGAGGTGACATCCCCCTCCCATAACTCCTGCTGGAGGAATGACTTGGCAAAGTCATTCTTTGCCAAGACCCCAAAACGTTAAAATCCTAGAATTCCAGAGACCAAGAAGCCAGTGTGACTATCACAATGGCACTTACGTGCCAGCGGCCACATCATGCACTGCCCATCTCTCTGTGGCAGGTGCCATGCCGGGTCCTCAGGTGGTGGCTGAGGGCTGCTGGGCACAAAGGTGGGTTTGTCTGGGTAAACACTCGTGCAGAGTCTCCTGACTTTCCTTTATGGCTTAGTCTAAGGTCTCAAAAGTTCTCAACTTGAGACCTCACTCTTGGCTCTGGGAGGCTTAGGCCACTGTGCCCCACTGCCTTTTAAAGCCAGTCTTGGCCTCAGCAGGGCAGGGAGTGCTGTGGCTTACAGCGTGTCTGTGCTCGGAGAGCACTGGCTCTCGCCAGCAGTGGAGCTCCTTGGGTCCTGTGCACACCGTTCTCTCCGGCTCTTCTTGTGGGTCAGAGCTGGACCTGGAGATGACCTCCAGACCTGAGGTTTTAGGTCTGATTCAGGACATAGGGGCTACTCTGGACCCATGAGACCACCAGGTTTGGACAGCTTGGAGGCCTCATGGACGGTGCTCAGGGAGGAAACCGGAGGCGCTGGGGGGAACTTTCATTCCCTTTTAGAAAGGAAACGGTGGCCGGGGCCTCTGTGTGTTGGCAGCATTGAAGTTGATTAATTTTTTTTTTTTTAAGAGGCTCCATTAAAATTTGCCTTAGTCTCAGGGAAAGGCTTTGGACTTATCAGCCATGCTGGAAGTGTTAGGACTTTAGCAACTTGAAGATAGACTAAATGGATTTGGCATGAAGAGATGTGCGTGTTTTGGGGGCCAGAGTTCATATCTAGGGGCACCTCCAAAAGCCTCACGCACTCCTAGGCGAGACTTTTGGGAGGCGATTGGGTTACAGGGGCTTTATGGCTAACTTACTGTTGGGAGCTGGAGCTGGTTGGAAGTCACTGTGGGTGTGACGTGAAGGTGGGATCTCTCTCTGGTTCCTCCCTTAACCCTCTGCTTCCTGGCTGCTGTAGGTCACCTGCTCTCCTCCATCCAGGCCTTTACCCCTGCCTGCTTGCCTTGGGGCCGACAAACTGGGGACTAAAAATGTGACCTAAAATAAACCTCTGGAGGAAGGGAAGATACCCACCTATGCACATACTGTTTTGCCTTTATCTTCCTAGCATTGCTAAACATAGTGGCACATGCCAGCCGCAGGAGGCTGAGGCAGGAGGACTGCTCCACGTTTGTCCTCCTGAAGCCCCGCCTGGTGTCTAACCAGAGGAGTGAGCTGGCACCCTCTACTGTCAGATGTGGGCACTGCAGCTCAGCTGCTCCAGTGGCTGACGGCCCCTTCTCCCTTTGACCCAGGAGAGTCCACCAGCGGCGTCTTTCAGGTTGTGCTGGGACCAGACCGTAGCTCCTATACCTTTACACCTCTGGAAAACCTTGAGGAGACCTTCTATGTGGAGGCGCTAGAGTTCCCATCTGCCAGCTTCTCGGGTCTGATCTCCTTCTCCATCTCCCTGATCGAGGATCCTCCAGGCCCGGTATGTTGCCCAGGAGACAGGAACCATAGGCAGGGGGCAAGGTAGAGGGAGAAGCGTCTCCCAGAGCGGGGTGGTGGGGGGAAGGTAGCATTAAGGTTTCCAGAGAAAGTGGTGGAAGGCAGTGAGATCTGTGGTGACCTGGGCTGAAAGTCCGGGGGTGCAAAAAGAGGAGGCGAGGGGATGTGAAGCCAGGTCACTGCCAGGACCTTGTCTTACGTTGCAGTCGATTCCTGAGACCCCAGTGTACAAGGACACAGTGGTGTTCCGGGTGGCTCCCTGCATCTTCACCCCCAGCACCCAGATGCCACTAGAAATGTACCTGTACAGGTAAGAGGTCCTCAGGCTGCCGGCAGCCTCCTTCCCTGGTAGCTACAGTGTCTGCAGGGTGGTTAGAGGCCACCCCACAAGACCACCATCTGACAGGTGCTTGCATACTGAGGCTTGGGATGGACCCAGTGAATGAAGCTGTCTCCCCAGCTCTTGTTTGGAGTTGGGGGGCCGGGGGGCACACAAAGTTTTGGGTAACATTATGGGCTACAAACCAAGGGAAAAGGGGAGAGAGGTATGGATGAGCATTTTGCAGAGAGCAAGGGGACTCCTGGCTCTCTGGACCCCCAGAGGGTTGGGGGCAAAATGAGCAGAACCTTTGGGCCCATGCACCAGGGCAAAGGCTCAGAGGTCATGCTGTACCAGAACTGCAGAAATAGTGCTGCAAAGCTGGCCCATCTCCGGGCTGCCTGCAGCAGGACAGCAGCAGGGTCCCCTGTCATCCTGTAGGTGCCCTGGTCCCTCTGTCTTGTTAACGTTTCTCCTAGGCTGACATTTCAGTGTCTGCTGGGCCCAGGGAAGGGGAAGCTACCTGTCACTCAGGCATTCAGCAGCCTCTTGAGCCACTGTCCTCGCATGCCTGTGGCCGGCAGGTGACAGGATCTGTGTGGCCACGCACTGAGGGAGAAGGATCCTGGGGAGACACTGGTAGGAAGAATCAAGGGTTCTCTGGCAGGGTCGCTCTGGCCGTGTGGAAAGGCCAGGGTATAAATGAATGGCCCTAAGCCAGTGTCCACGCTGCCCAGGCTCAGGCTGGAGTGGGCGGAGCCTGGCTGTAGCCAGGCGTCCACTGCAGGGGGAGCTGTTCTGCCCAGCTCCACACCAGCTGCCTCCCGATATCCTAGCAGATGCCTGGCAGGCGGGCTGTTTTGAAAGGTGGGAGGCAGAGATGTTAATGACTCAGAAGGGAAGTTGATAGGAAGCCCGCAACCACAGGAGCCCAGGTAGCAGGATGGGCACAGGACACCTGGTCCCTCTCCCGGGTTCAGCAGGGTGTCTGAGCAGGCATGAGTGGCGGTCCCCTCTCCTGCTATTCTGGGTAACTGGACCTTCTAAGGAGGAGTAACACAGAACCTGGGTCCGATCAGTGTCGGGGGTTGGCCAGGGAGGGCGCCCAGGATGAAGGTGGAGGGTGCGGCTACCAAGAGGGGCGGAGAGTCCACCCTGGCTGCGGAGGGAGGTGGAGGAATGATGACTGAAATGACAGTGAGGTCGGGCTGCTGGCCAGGGAGCTGGGAGGGCACCAGAGGAAAGTGGAGGTCAGGACAGGACTCCAGGTTTAGGTGTTAGAAGTGGGGTGACCCTCAGAAGGGGCTAAGGTGGAAAATGCTGGTTCGGGCTTAGGGGGTATAGTTCCCCGTAGAGCGCCCGCCTAGCAGGCTGTACCCTGAGGGGACAGTGGCTCCATTCACTTGTGGGGACAGCGGTTCTCTCTGGGGGTCCTAGGAGGCCCTCCCTAAGCAGGCCAATCTCCCACGCAGAGATGTGAAGATCCAGGGCTTCGTGGATGCAGTGACAGCGCTGAGTGAGAAATCTGACAGCCAGGTGGCATCTGTCTATGAGGACTTCAACCGCATGGGCAGGTGGCTGCAGGTAACACCTCACTTCCCACAGCCTGGCATGCAGGGGACAGGGGTTCATGCCCTGGATAAGGACTTTGGTGGAGGCATCTTTGTCTCTAGGACTTGATCAGAGGCTCAGAAGTGACACACCTGAGTCCTAGCCTTTGAGGGATAAAGCTTGGAGTCCAAATTCTTTCCCCCTCGGGCCCCATGTGCTCCAGGCCCTGGGGGGGTCTGCTGCCTTCCACTGTAGGGTCAGAGCCAGGCTGCAGGGCCGGGCCTGCCCTGCCACAGCACAGTACCAGGGCCAGAGCCAGGTCTGCTTTGGTGCTGGGGTGCCATACGCTGGATGTTGTACCCCTCTAAGGTAGGAGGGGACAGGTGGCCCTGTGCAGACAAGCCTGGAAATGAGACAAATGGTGAGCTACTGCAGTGTGAGGCCACGCTAGGCACCAATGCCAGGAAAAGCCTCAGATGAGCCTTAAATGAGCTGGCATGTGTGGTCGTGGGCAGGCTAGAAATGGGAAAGGGTACCTGCATGGCCATGCTATGGGAAGTGGTCAGCTCGGTGGGAGCCGCACTGCGGTTCAGGTTAAAGAACAGAAACAACCAAAGTAAGATGGAATGACATTAAAAGCAACAAATTGGGTGTAAAAGCTGAGGTCAGATGTGGTGAGCCACGCCTGTAATTCCAGCTGCTCAAGAGGCCTAGGGCAGGAGAAGCTCAAGTTCAAAGCCAGCCTGTGTAGCTCGGCAAGACCTTGTCTTGAAAGGGAATAACTGGTTTGGGTTTTGAAAAGACCCCTGGGCAGGATGTAGGGGACAGATTTGGGCAGGGGGAGATTGGCAGTGGGAGAAGACAACCTGGTAGCCTCCCCAGGGGACCAGACATGAGGGGGCTCAGAGCATAGTGAGGTAAAGCCCCCAAAGCTGTCATTTTGGATGGGGAGGAAGAGGGAAGACTTTAGATGACTCACATTTCAAACTTGAATGAGAACAGGTTAGGAAAGGGTACCTGAGCTGGGTTTTGAGGGCTGGACAGGAGTTGGCAGAGGGAGGGTTTGTTGGCACTGTCTCTAGAGGGGGCCCACAGATTGGACATGAGCACGAGCTGCTGGAGTGAGATGACCTCGGTCTCCCTGTCTTTTCCAGGATGAGATGGCCTTCTGCTACACCGAGACACCCAACAAAATGATGTCCTTTGTTCTTGACACCCCTCGGACCACCACGCCTGATGAGTTCCCCATGAAATATGCACTGGTGTGGGGCTTGGTTTAGCTGATATGAATACAGTCCAACCTCTCAGGCCGGGCATTTGCCCGGAAATGATGGGGGGGTTTCCAGGGGGCGGGGGAGGTGCAGGTGGCCCAGATAATGTGTAAGTAAGGCAGGAGACCGCTTAGAAGATCAGAGTCAAGCATGGTGGCTCACATCTGTAATCCCAGCACTCAGGAGGCTGAGACAGGAGGATCATTGTGAATTCAAGACCAGCCTAGGCTACAAAGTGAGCTCGAGGCCAGCCTGAACTGCATAGGAAGACCCTGTCTCAAAGACAAAAATAAGATCAGGGTTCACTGCCACCACCCCCACTTCTAACACCCCCTACTCCCGTGGGGTTCCCTTCCAGAGCCCTGGCGTTGGCTACCTGATCCAAAACATCACAGACCACACGGTGGCCAGCTTGGATACCATCGGAAACCTGATGGTGTCCCCGCCTGTCAAGGCCCAGGGGAAAGAGTACCCCTTGGGCAGAGTCCTCTTCGGCAGCAGCTTCTACCCTAGGTGAGCTGACAGGTCCACAGGTGACCGGATTCTGAGTCTCCCTGGACCTCAGCTGGAGTCTACTCTGGACCATTTCTCATACAAAATACAGATGTTTGAGCCTTTGGCTCACATAGGAGACTAAACATAGGAAAAGCAAATTGTTCATTCCGTGGTGATTCCAGAGTTTAAAGCAGAAATTTAGCAAATGGACCACGCGAGATCCTGTTTGCACAAAACATGCGACTGGATTTCTTGGTCCCTTAGCCTAAAGCCAGGCGACCCGGTGCCCCAGATTCAATCTGTGTGGTATAGGTCAGCTCCATCTCGAGCTGGGTCAGAGGAAGGGATTTTTAAGCACCCCACAGAGGGTCGCAGCAGCTGACTCGGCCAGCAGCCAGGCCGACGCGGGCTGCATCTGTCTCCTCCCCAGCTCCGAAGGCCGGGCCATGAGCAAGAACCTCCGGGACTTCCTGTATGCGCAGCAGGTCCAGGCGCCCGTGGAGCTCTTCTCAGACTGGCTGATGACCGGCCACGTGGACGAGTTCATGTGCTTCGTCCCGGTGGAAGACAAGAGCAACGACTCCAAGGTCCGTGGTGGGGGCGCCTCCTAGCGGCCACCCGCGGACATTGCCGCGGTGGGTGCAGGCCTGTGACCCGAGGCTCGGTTCCCAGGGCTTCCGCCTGCTGCTGGCCAGCCCCTGCGCCTGCTACAATCTGTTCCGTGAGAAGCAGGAGGAGGGCTTCGGGGGCTCAGTTCTGTTTGGCGGTGTCAACCCTGACACGCTGCACGCTAACGGTAAGGGATCCCTCCGAGAAGCCGAGCCGGCTCCAGGCCCAGATGCCTGGCCTCAGGTGGACTCCTTGGCTGGGGTCCGGCCCCCTTCAGGGAGTGCTGCATGAGCACTTGGGCCCTCCTCGGGGAAACATAAGTGGACACGCAGAGATGGCATGGCTGGTGCGGTGGACATTCTGACCCAGATGTGTCAGGGACAGATAAAGGAGTTTTCCCAAAAAACAGGGCAGGGTGTCAGGACATCCCCTAGACCCTCAGTAATCACACTCTGTATCACACATCTGACCTCTATCTATGTCAGACTCTGGACTTGGGTTGGACCCCGGGGCCTAGCAGCCCTGTCACTGGCTGGCTGGCTGTCACCTGCTGGCCATGCCCAGCTCTGGACAGCACACCCCTTGCCCTGACCTGCCTGTCCTCGTCCCTCTTACAGGAAGGGAGGCCAAAACCATCAACCAACTTCTTGCCGACCAAACTATGAGAAATCAGAACAACTATGTGGAGGTAGGGGGCCAGGGTGGGGGGACGTCCCTTTCTGTCCTCCAGCCTCTCACACAGGCTGCATCCCAGACTCCCAGGACGGAGGAGGATGGGGGATGACTTGTCAGGGTGGGACAGTCAGCTCACTCACTGGCTTCCTACCCTGCACGTCAGGAGTGCTCGCCTCACCTTTTCCAAGTTGTGGGAAAGGCCCCGACAGTCTGGACCAGCTCTCGGCTGAGCTGCTGCTGTGGCCTGGGCATCGTGGGGGCTGCCTCTTAGAACCTCGAGGACATGGAGCACCCAGCCTCCATATGAGGGCAGGGGGGATGGCGGCAGAGGCACTGGCTTAAGATGAGGCGGACCTGGGTCTGTGTCCAGGTGGGCGTCAGAGCTCATGCTCTGCGGGTTGTGCTGCTTGGGCACCCCTGGGAACAGTCACACAGCTCAGACCCCTGGCAGAGGCCGGCCACCTCTTCCCGAGAAGCTCTTGCTGTCATACTGAAACCAACGAGGGCTGCCCTGGTGCTTCTTGGATGAAGTGGCTATTGTCACAGCAGTCCCAAGATGGTGATTAGGGTCGCCAGGTTCCCTGTCTTAGACTGGGCATCATTGGCTGCAAAACAGAGTCCCCAGGAGCAATCATGCAGCCTCTAGAAGGGGAAACTGAGGCCTGGAGAAGAGGGGAGCTTCCTGTCCACGGGCCCAGAGTGGAACGGTATCTCACTACGTTCTCTTGGTGCCTAGCAGTGCTCTGTGCCCAGCATGGCAGTGTTTTGCCTTTTGCAAACCAGGGAGCCCCCCCCAGCCTGACAGGGCAGGTACCAGACGGGTGGTGGCTGTCCTGGGTGCACTGGCCACAGCACCCATGGAGCTGGCTGGGTGCTGGCCGTGGGTGGTCTGAGCAGGGTCTCTTCCCACCCCACAGAAGTGCATTCACCTGAACCGCGCCATCCTGAAGGAGAAGCTAGGCTTGCAGGAGGAAGACATCATTGATGTCCCCCAGCTCTTCTGTCTGGAGGAGCTGACCAATGTCCCCTCTGACCAGCAGCCCTGCAAACTCTTCGCAAGGCCCTACTTCCCTGACGTGGTGAGGGCCACTGGCAGCTTGGGGCATGAGGGGAGAGGGGGAGAAGGGGAGAAGGGTGAGTCTTTTCAGCTAACATCTGTATCTTGCCAGATGATAAGTTACCCTGCCAGACACAGCAAAGGCCTGCAGGGCTGGGGGCCAGGCAGCTGTGATGCCTGTGAGGAAGTCAGCTGGACCTTGCCTCCCCCTTAGGCCGGGAGCCCTGCCCCAGGGGACAGGTGAGCTGGGCCTGAAGGCCCAGGTGCTCGTGAGCAGGACTGGAGGTCACAGTCCCAGCTGGCTGATCCCCAAACTGCAGAGACAGACCTGAGAGGCCTCTTTACAGATGGGGACATCATGCTGCCAAGCCAGAGGCTAAAAGACCTTCCCTAGGGGCCTCTTGTCCTCCGTCACCAGGGCCCAGAGCAGGCGGTACTCAAATGTATGAAAGGACTAGAGCGAGAGGTCAGAGAGGGATGGGGACAGGGGCTGTGTCTGCTCCTTTTTCTGTATGAACTGTGACCCATCACATGGCCTCAAGTGGGTTCTGAGGTGTTCGCATCAGTGCTTTAACCACCTGCTGACCTCTGTGGTTCTGGGGATACAGGCTTCTCCCCGCCCTGCCCTTGCTGGTCACCACCTTGCTGGTGTCTTCTAACAGATCAGTGTGGCCAAGCCCACCTTAGCCCCTGGAGCCAGGTCTGCATGGTGGGGAGGAGCTGAGAGGGGGGCAGAAGTCAATGGGTAGGGCTGGGGTGAAGAGGACAGAGTGGTAGAGGTAACAGGAAGTAGCATAGCCAAGACAAAAACCAGCGTAACAGGAATATACAAGTCAAGGCCAGATCGTGGCTGGGTAAAACTAGTTTTGCTCCTGTTAAAGGTATTAGATTTCCACTTAGTTTCCTAGTGTCTCATCAGTTTCACTGAGATTGATTAGTGATGTCTGTATGGGCAGAGGTCTGGATCAAAGTGGCGCATGCTCTGTCATCCTGGTTCAGTCAAACACTCCGTAAGGGAGTTGGAGTTTCTAACTCCACATCACTCTTGCCTGGAGGATAGGTGGGGCCTTTCTCCCGTGGCTCTGACCCTTGACCCTGACCCTTGACCCTTACTCATTAACAGCTGCGAATGATTGTGATGGGCAAGGATCTGGGGATCCCCAAGCCTTTTGGGCCACAAATCAAGGGCACCTGTTGCCTGGAGGAAAAGATTTGCCACTTACTGGAGCCCCTGGGCCTCAAGTGCACCTTCATTGATGACTTTGAGTGCTACCTGACGTGTGTCGGAGATCCTTGCGCCTGTACCAACATCCGCCGGATGCCCTTTGCCTTCAAGTGGTGGAATATGGTGCCTTAGCCTCAGCCCTGGAGCTGCCCAGCCCTGCCCTGCACCAATATCCCACTATCACCACGCAGCAGCATGATTCCTGGGCCATTTGTGGGGGTGGCTGGAGAGCCGAGGCAGTGCTTCCCTTGCCCTGGTTACCCCTGTCCTTCAGGTCCAGTAGGGTGGCAGATGCTACCAGCTCAAACCTCCTGGAAGGGGGAGATGGAAAACTGGTCTTCAGCTCTGTTTACTGAAGAGCCAATAAAGGTCTCGCTGTTTTGAGTGCACTTAGGAGGCCACCTCCTTGCTCTGGGGAAGGGCTGTGTGCCAGCTGAGGGCTCCCCTTGGAGCTGTGCCGGGGCTGCCTGGCTCCTGTCAGTGCAGAAATGGGGATCTGGCTGAATCCTACTTGCCCTTCCTCATTAATTTCCTTGTAATAAGTGGGTGAGCCAAGCTGGTGGTGTGTACCTCTAATCCCAGCAGTTGGGAGGCTGAAGCAGGATTGCCGTGCGTTCAAGACCAGCCTGGATTACTTACAGGAGTGACTTCAAGGCCAGCCTGAACTAGACTGCAAGAGCCTGTCTTAAAAAGTGGCTGGAGTGAAATTATGTAACCTAGAAAACAGAATACATTGGGCTCAGGTGGCTTTAGGAAGAAGGGGGGGGGGATTCCCTTGGTAGCTGCTGGGTGGCACAATGCCCAGTGGGCCACTGGCCTTGGTGAGTGGGGGTTCCTAGTCTCCCAGGGTGGGGACAGTCTAGTAGGCCTCAGGTGTGGCTTGAGAGGCAGGCTGGGCTGCTCTTAAAGTCAGCAATGCCAGTGCCCACTCCAGGACCCACCGCCTCCCGTTTCCATCTGCCTAACCAAGTGGTGTTAAATCTAGGGTGTCACTGAGGAGGCTTAGCCACTGTGGCCATGCCGCCAGCCCAGGTGATGGCCCCCCCAGGACTCTGTGCAAGCCGGGAGAAGGGAGCTGGGCCCAGAGGCAGCCCTGATCCCAACCCTTGGGGTTGATGGTGGTGGGTGACCAGCAGGGTCCAGCCGTTCTTTGCTGTCTGCTGAGACCACGGGCACAGGCCCTGTCCTGAGCTGTTCCGGGCCATGCACAGTGCTCCTTACAATCCCTGCTCCAAGGCCCTGCAGGGTCAGCAGCCCACAGACCTGGCCGTATAAAATGGGCTCCTGTGTCCATCTCACGGGGTCACTGTGAGAGCAGCAAGTGTGTGCAACCCCAGATGCCACCATGTTGACACCTGAGTGGACACAGTGTGGAGCAGCTTGCTTAGTGACCTCAGCCTGCTGGGGAGAGCCATCTACCCGAGGGTGGGCTCGGGTGGGACTTCCCTAAGGACAGCAACCAGGACAGCTGCCAGCTGGGACATGGACCCGAGCTCTGATTGGATTTGGGTGGCCCCGGGTGTCGGAGGAGCTGGGCTCCTGGACATGGCCTTGGGTCACAGATGGGCTTGAATCCAAGAGCTGCCACCAAGCAGCTTAGGAACAGCACTTTGTTAATCTGCATCCGGTGACTCGGCGTCAGTCTACAGAGAGCTTGGTTTTACTTGCAGCTGTGTCTGTCCCCAGGACAGGCTTTCCAGTGCTTTTTTTCCCCAAGACTGAGTCTTGCTATGTAGCTCAGCCTGGCCTCAAACTTGCAGTGACCCTCCTGCTTCAGCCTCCTGAGTGCTGGGATTACAGGGCTGAACTGCCCTTCCAGTGCACTTGACAGATGTGAGGGATGAGGCTGGGGATGAAGGGTTAAGGGGGCCATGTGAGTTTGATGTGCATTTCCTAATCTGGAGAAGCCAGAGAATTTTTTCAGTGGAGGACCCTGGATCCCTCTGGGAAAAAGCGGGAGAGGGGAGCCCTGGAACCCGATGGCAGACAGGGGAATGTCCACCCTCGGGGATGATCCTGCAGGGCTCTTCCCTGGGGAACTTGTGCACTCTATTAGGGGCTGCCTGGGGCCAGCAGTTCGGCCTTCTTAGGGTGACAACAACCAGACTCTCCCTCCCCCAGGCTTTTCTGGCTAGCCCAGGTGCTGTCCCCACTGGTGAAGGGCCCTGCGAGCCCGGCAGCCTTACCCCTCCCCTCCTGCAGCTCCCCAAGCCCCTAGCATGCTGGTCCCCACCTGCCGTCAGGTCTCCAGTCATCTGTCAGAGCTGAGTTTGCACAGCCTGTGTGACGCTATTAGTTTCTCTGAACCGGGCGCTGATTAACCCAGTGGACTTTAGTTCTTGCCAAGGCCACCTCTGCCCTGGTCCTGCCGCTTCCCAAGGCTCTGGGTTGACGCCACAGCCCCTCTCCGAAGTCCCACTTGCTGGGCAGTGGCCATTTGGCCCCACAACTGCTCTCTTGGCCTGCCTGCCTAGTGAATGTTCCCCACACTGGGCCCAGTTAGGGACTGCTGCACCCAGAGGGCTCGGGCTGCTCCGGAGGGTGGTTTAAATGGGCCATTTACAGAAAGCTTGGACCTAGGCAGGTGTAGGTCTCCACAGCGGATTTCGCTCGTGAAAGTTGGAGATTCTCAGGCCTCCTTGGTCACCCCAGTACACCAGCTCTAGACCAGCTGGGTCTGTATTCAACTCGGCTTGGGCCTGTCCTGCCTGCCCAGCAGGGGAGGACAAAAGCATTTGGGGGCCTCATGGCAGTGCAGGATCAAGATAGCAAACCACCTGCACAGCCCCCCAAAGGCCCTCCCCTTGGGCTTCTAGAATGCCCCCCCCCCAACAGGGTAAATACTTTTATCTCACTGAACTCAGGATGGGCGCCTGGACTGTCCAGCATCAAGGGACCACACAAGGTGGCTCCTGAGGTTCCTCTGGCTCTGTCATCCTCTGAGTACATGCCCCCTGTAGGAGCCAGCACACCCCTTTCCCTGCCCCACCCAGGACAGAGGGTGCCGGGCAGCTCTGCTCCTCCACGCCCACCTTCAGTCACAGGCACGGCCCCTGCCGGCCCCAGCCTGACCTCTTTCCCACACTCATTGTGGACCAAAGCAGCTCATGAGGGCAGGTGGGGGGGCCTCATCACCTCCACAGATCCAAATGCTGCTGCCCCCATCACGTGGCCACAGGCTGCATGGGCTCCGTTTCTGGGGCAGCAAGGCGGGTGTCATGTGGATCTTCTCACCAGACCCCACCAACCACCAAGGCCACTTCCTCTCTGGGACAGCAGATGGGGCCAGGTCACCCCAAAACCTAGCATGTGTCCACATTCATGCCAGTGTCTGCTTCCAGGACACTGCCCTCCACAGTGGCTTCGATGGCCAACTACGGAGAACTGGACTCTTAGCACCCCCTGGTGGCCAGTTGCCACACTGCCCCTAAAGAGCTGCAGCCTGGGCTCAGGTACCCTGGGCTCCCTCTGAAGGGTTTGGAGATGATTGAGAATGAACCAGCTGCTCAGCTCCTGGTGGGTTTTACTGATAATCGCTCTCAGCACCCAGCCCAGCCTCCTGTGCCATGCAGACTGAGACCTGCAGACATCAACCACTGTGGGACACCCCCATCCTGCACTTGAGACACAGTAGGGTCCACAGGGCCCCTGCATACCGAGTCCAGGGCAGAGCGCACCTCACAGCAATGCCCACCTGTGACGGGTGCACCAACCCCGCTGCCCTCCCCCAGCCCAGACGGCAAGGAGCAGAGTTGGGGCTCACTCACCTCCCAAGCCCTGCACTCAGCAAGGCAAGCCTAGAACTAGGTGGGCGGGGGGGGGGGGGGGCGCGGCATTGTCCCTCAAACCCACTCTTGTGGGTCCCTGGACTTTAGGAACAGATTGCACAAAAATAGAGCTACTCCACACTCTACTGAAAACAAAACACAAAAGCCAAGACAGAGTAAACAATGATGCCGTTTATTTAAAATGTTTACTCCAAGAAATATATATATAAAAAAAAAATAAAGACAATTACAGCACTAAACCAGGCGCCTTCGGCCGAATCACAATATCCTCTTTGATTCTCATCCACCTCGGACCCTCCCTTCTGGACCTGGAGGGCACCAAGCCCCTTCCTGGCTCAGCCCTCTGCGACTCTTGGAGTGCAGGGCGCCCCAATTCCTGTCCTAAAGGGTGCTCCTTGCGAGGAAGTTCATGTTACAATTCTACACCAAAGGAGGGGCGAAGCGGGGCACAGGACACCTTCCCTGGAGGGGTCCTGGCCAGGGTGGCTGGCTGCTGGTTTCAGGAGTTGCCTGGAAGATCTGAGCCCAGGTCTGCCCAGGACAGCTCCCAGGCTATTGCGTCCCCAGTTGGGTGACCACACAGCTCAAGGGAGACCCCCAGGGTGTGACATTAAGGAGCACAGTCGGCCAGCTAGCTCAGGTGGGAGCTTGCATGGGAGGCCTCTGGAGGTGACAGGGACAGATCAGGTTAGTTTAGCGGAAGTTCTGACACTGCAAAAGCTTGTCCCCAGGGGGGGCCACTGTCCCAACACCGTGGCAGAGATGAGCAAGGACTCCAGTAAGGTCTTAAATCCAGCCCCATCTCCCTAGAGGCTGTAGGGTCAGCCAGGCACAAGCTGCAACCTGTCCCCCAAGGACAAGTCACTGAGCGGTGATGGGGTGGGGTGACAAGCAGGAGGAAAAGCAGTGACCAGTGACCGTGAGATCATTTTTGGCATTTTAACACGAAGACAATGACAAGTGGTTAACAGAAGCAAAACCAAAGCTGAAGACCAGAACTGAACTCTCCGTCCGCCCAAGTCCCCCAGAAGCACACTGAGCTACGCATCTAGGTAAAGCACCCAAACCAGTCCAGGCCCTGGAAACCTCGAGCTCAGCCAGCGCCACCTCGCTTGCTTCCAGGAAAGGCACCTCGTAACTGCTGCAGTGCGGTCGCCCCGGACGGCTCTGGCAGAGGGCACTTGCCAGGGCTGCGCGGGAGTCCTGCTCGGCTTCTGCGTGCACTCTTGAGCCGGGGGCAACTTCTCCAGGGATCCCAGCTATTTGGAGCCAAGCACACATGACCAGAGCGCAGGGTTAGCAGGACAGCAACCCGAGGCGTGGGACAAGGTGGCCGCCCTGGGGACAGGAGTGACCAGGTGAGACAGAAGGGAGCAGAGGCAGCGTCCACAGCTGGGACATGGGGGCTGGTCCTTCCTCGCAGGGACTGGATGGACAGTGCACTCAGTGTTGGCTGATCGACCTCCATCTGAGCAGCGCCAGGGCCAACAGTGCCCGAGCTCCACTGGGGTCATAAAGCCGGACCCTTGGACATACACAAGTGTTCCCCATCTGTGCCCCGCTCCCCAGGTCCCCATGGTTCCACCACGGCCTGATTCTCATTTGCACTTCTTATACAGCTAAGAGATAGAAATAGCTAAACATAAATCCCAAAGCCCCCACCAGGGGGGAAATGGCAGATTCTATGAATGGTTTAACCAAAAGGCTGTGGAGCTTCCACGCAGCCAAGGGGAGCAGAGCAAGCGGCGGCTGGAGCCAGTCTGTGGGGAAAAGCGGCAAGTGGCCCGGATGCTCCCCAAGTGCACAAGCGTGATTTTGAATGGAGCTCAGCCACCAAGGACGTCTTGGCTTAGATGCTGCTGGTTCCCATAAGGGACATTTTCATCTGAGTAAACAGCCATGTAGCACCCACTTGGACCACAATGCTAATTACAACTGGAATGGGAGGTTTGGGGAAGCATATTCAGGAGAGGAAAACAAACAAACACAAAAAAATACAACTTAAAAAAAAAACTTATTGCTCAAAGTTTCTGCCTCTTGTCGGAATGGTAAATCAACTATGAGCAAATATTTTAATTAAACGTTGCGGGGGAAACGCTTTGGAAAGCATACAGAAAAAGGTAGTTAACGTTGAATCGCTTAGAAAACAGAACCTTGGGGAGGCTAACAAAACTGCATCTTCGGTCAGCTCTTGCTGCTTAAATCCCTCATCTGACTTCCTGTCCCAGTGCACATGGTATGACAGCGGGCGGAGCCAGCTCCGCTCAGAGGGTGCGCGGGTTGTACTCCGGCAGCCTCTTGATCTTCTCCTTCTCCGTCTCGCTCTCGTCTCGGGCAATCACCAAGGAATGTGAGTAGCCCATGGCCACCTGTGGGGACAAATCAAAGCAGCCTGGTCATCGGGTCTGCAGCAAGGCAGCAGGGCTCACTGGCCTGCTGTGCTGGCAAAGGCGGGGGTCAGGAAAACGGGCTCTCAGAAAGCTAACGCCAACTTCCTCTCTCCCAAAGACTGCTGGCCTCTCGACCATGACACCTGTGGCCTCCGGGCCAGAGCTCTCCAGGGAAGGACGCCCACTAAGCCCTGCTGGCAGGGACACGCGGGACACAGCAGGGTGCACCTGGCTGCGCCCACCCTGACCTAGCAGTGTGTGCCCGGTTTTGGTGAAGGCGCATTCCTGGGCACCGTCTCTGTCCTGCAGTGAGGCTTGGGAAGCTGGTCACAGGGTCACAGCTCCGAAAGAGCTACAGACACCCAAAAGCACGCGCAGGGGCTGGGTCTCCTCCGCACTCACCTGCTCTGAGAAGATACCGTCCAGCGTCTTCACCTCCTGGGCTGCGGTGGAAGACTTGGGCTTGTGGTCCCCGTAGCCCTGGGAAGGGGGCAGAGACACTCATAGAAACAGCAACAAGCACAGCATGGTCCAAACAGTCGGGGTGCCACTGAGGCTTCCAGGTGTCCCACTGAGCAGGTGCCCTGGCCACTGCCACTGCCCCAAGTGCCAGGCGAGTTACCAGCACATTCACAGTTGCTACTAGGTGCCTCGTTTACCCAAGGGAACCCAAGACACTGGGCCCTGACCTGGGCTTTGGGAGATAACTACGCTCCGGGGCATCACATGCCAACAGCGGATGACACCCTGAGCACAGGGAGGGATGGCAGCTACAGCTGCCAGCCTACAAGCCGGCCCTCCCGACTCCCATGCCTCTGCTTCCAGAGGGCCACGTAACCACGAGACAGGGCAGGAGAATCACGCCGAGTTCAAGGCCAGCCTGGGCTACACAGTGAGACCACCGCTCAAAAAAACCAACACAATTCAGCATGACACAAGGCCAGCCTGGGCCACTCAGCAATTGTATGTTCCAAAATTACAATTTTAAAAACCTGCAAATGTGGTTCTGGTGCTAGAGAGAGAGCATGCCTAGCTACACAGGCCCCGGGGCGAGTTCCCTGAGCTGCGCCTCCCCGCCAGGAAAAGAGAAACAGAAACCAGTGCAGGTAAAATTCGTGTCTCCCAATCACCTGACCGGCTGTCTTGAACGGCTCCTTACTCCCCAGGGTTCAGACTAAAGGTTAAGGCTGGCTTTTCACGCTGGACGCACGGCTGCCGGAGACACCCTGCCTGCCATGGACCTGGCCCTCTTGGCAAGGAGAGGCAGCCCCGCTCCCGTCCCTGCAGTGCCCGCTCCCTCTTGCCCCAGCTGAAAGTCATCTGCAGCACTGTCCTTCAAATCCAGTGTGGCCCAGGATGATGGCAGATGGTGGTGGTGGGGGGGGGGGGGTGTAACTCAGACAGCCCAGGCCCCATGTGCTCAGGAGAGGGGTGGCTCACCAGCTCCCCAAAGGTCGGCGACGGCCCCCAGCTGATGGTGCTCTCGTCAGCTGCCACAATGATGCTGCTCTTCCTGCAAACGGTGAGGGTAAAGACCAACCGTCACTGTGAGCACGGTGGCTGCATGGCCCTGGCAGTGGGGAGGCCTCTGACCTGCCAAGGGGCCTGACCTGGCTTCCTGGTCCACCCCAGTAAGGACTGGCGGGTCCCACTAAACCCAAAGAGGGTCCCTGCAAGCCACTTAGGCCTCAGCTAAACCCCAGAGCCCTGCACAGCACCAGAAGCAAAGTTGGGGGACCCTGACCCTTGCCTTCCCACAGGGATGGGGCTCTTAGGGAGGTCACTTTGGGCAGAGAGAAGGCCACATCAGGGTGAAGTGACAGCCCATTCCCAAAGGGGTGGGACTCCATTCCCACTAAGCTGGAGGGCAGGGGCTCAGGAACTGAGATCTCAACAAAGCAGAGCGGGGAGGTGACTCACATCACCGCCTCACCAAGCCCGGCTAGGTGACCCAGCATGTGACATTAAATGTGAGAACAGTCGATCTGCAAGTAAGCTCTTCCCAGGGTGCTCAGACACTAAAACCCTGCCACTTCCAACTCAGAGTCACTTGAGCCCCTCTGCTTGTGTTTATTCTAAAAAAGCCCCTCAGTGCCTTCCCTTCCCATGGAGACAGGGACGGGGCCATCTGCTACACAGCCCAGTGAATCACCCTCCTCTTGCACCCCCACTCGGAACTCTGTGTACCCCAGGCCCTGCCAGCCACAGGCATGGCGCCCTCTTGAGGAAGAGGCACCTTAGAGTGTTTGTGACACTCAGAGGGACACCCACACACACAGAGCTCCAGTCAGGCGACCCTGCCACTTACCCACAAGCCAGGCTCCGGATCCTCCAGCCACAGAGGTCCTGCACTGCTTTCGGGTACATGGTAGACTCTCGGGATGTGTTGGTGGCTCCCCAGAAAAACAACCCACCTGAAGAAAATAAAACGTTATCCCATCCTGGGAACCTCCAGAGGTGAAGATGGAGGACAGGTGGCCGTGAGCCTCCAAACATGACACGGGACATGAAGTGGGACAGAGTTTACAGAGGAGATGGGACGACAGATGCACTGTCCCCGTGGAGCAGCAACCTTCAGGGGAGCGACCCCCCACACCGCAGCTCCACAGACAGGGACACCAAGCACTGACCCACTTCGCTGACCGCAAAGGAGCAGGTGTAGCCGGCGTAGATCTGGGAGGCACCTCGGCCTGGGAAGTCGAACAGCTTCACCAGGCGAGGGACCATCTCGTCCTTCTGCTCGGCGTGGCCCAGGCGGCCATAACCCCCAAAGCCCCAGGAGAAGACGCGCTTCTGGGAGTCCAGGATCAGCTGCAGGGAAGGGACACACAGGCTGGGTCACCAGGGCCTCCTGATGACAGCAAGGGGAGAATCGGGTACAGGGCTAAAGGCACAGGGGTGGGGAGGTTGAGAGCCTCTGCACCAGCCTCCTACGGGCAGGGCAGAGGACGGAGCGGAGCACAGTGAGGGTCCAGTTCGGGCCAGCTCGTTCCCTTCCCTGCAGGGACCCGTCTGCCACTGCCCCTCCAAAGCACTGGTCTCCCCTGCCCCTCTTCTGAAGCCAAAGGGCTACATCGCCAGCAGGCAGGGCAACGGGACCCTGCCCGCAGCGGTCAGTGCGGGAACTGCAGGAACTGGAGCACTGATGCATCATCCTCCACCCACATGGCAGGAAGCCAAGCCTTACCGTGTGGTTGGCACCACAGGCCACGTCTCGTACCACCACGTTCGGGACGGGCAGGATCTGCCCATCTTTCGTCTTCTCGATGAAGATAGCCACTCGCCGGGGCACCAGTTCGCAGTCATACTCTATCCGCTGCGCCCGGGCGATAAACTTCCCGTCCGAGTTGTGCCCTGGAGAAGCCACAGAGCCAGCCATCAGCAGCAGCGTGGGACATGGGAAGGCGCAACTGTGTCCCCCGAGTACTGAGTACTGAGTACTGTGGGCTCCAAGCACCTGCCCTACCTATCCTGGCCTGTCTGGCCCATCCGAGGTTTTCCAACTGGAACCTACGTAGTAGAATAAACACCAAGGACTCCCCACAGCACAGGACCACTGCCTTAGGAAAATTACAACTCACTTCTTATTGGGGGGCATGGCAGGAGGAGGGCAAAGCTACAGCTGAGAACAGTCAGCAGAGTATGACCTGCGCCCCAGCGGACCAAGAACGGACACGACAGTACTGGACAGCTCTGGTGCTTTTCCTGTGGTGCTGTGGGTTAAGGGGGGCCTCGATCACTGAGCTACACCCTCAGCCCTTTACTAAGGTGTTTTATTCTGAGATAGGGTGCCATAGCTTGCCCAAATGGGATTCGCATGTGTGATCTTCCTGCCTCAGTCTCCCTAAATGCTGTAATTACAGCATGCACCCCGCCTGGCTTGCCCTACAGGCTGGAGAAGGCGCCAGAATAATAGCACCTGCGACCACCAACGCACAACCAGTGCTGGGGCTTTAGACCAACGTCACACACCACGCCCACGCTGCAGCGATCAGTGGGTCACAGGTAACACTGGTATGTTTCTGGCTGGCACCTGGCACAGCCCTTGGCTAATCCCTACACGACTGATGTGGTCGTCTGCACATCCCCTGCTGATGATCTGGTATCAAACACCCTGAGCCAGGTGTGCTGGCACATGTCTACGTCACTCCAGCCAGTGAGAGGGGCCCACAGGCTCCAGCCCTGCTGCAAGGCAGAGGGTTGCCACCAGGGGTTCCCCGGCTCTCCAAGGCGCTAGGGATTTAAAGACACCATACAGAGTAAAAACCATTCTGGGCCAGCGATTTAGCTCAGTGGCTCAAGCGCCGGCCTGATAAGTGGGTTACAGGGCTACTGTGGGGAGGGGACAGCTTGTCTGATGCCACAGTTCCAGATACCGTACTTGGCCACTAGCACACTGCAAGGGTGTGTGTGAGAGAGTGTGCTGTGCACCCTGCTGTGGCACCTGGGTCTTAACCCCACACCAGAGCTGTCTGCATGGGACAGACCGGAAGGAAGCTGGTAGGCAAGAGACCCTGCAGGTGGGGATCACGCCAGCTGTCTACACTGCCTTAACAAGGCGTCACCTGACCCCCAGGAACCTGCACTACACACGGGGGAGGCTCCCAGATCCAGATAGCTGCCCTGAGAACCCCCAAGGGATAACTGCCTGGCTTCAACAAACTGCTGGTTTGGCTTCTGTGTAAGCCAGAGGCGCAGGGAGCTCGCGTAGCAGGAAGCCCAGAAGCGCACTTCCGGTGTGGGCCGTGGCCATGGCAACCATTTCTTCAACAGCCCCAACAACTCCCTGGCAACCGGCGTGCAGATGGGCCTTAAGGGGCTGTTCTTTCTCACTTCTGACTGGAGGTATATTTAGTTTCACAAAGTCACTGTTCCCTGAAGTCTAAGGGCAGCGCTGCTCCGCCTTCTATTTATACTTTGCCATCTGCCTGCTTTAATGACGCAGGGACCCAGCAACCCAGATCCTGGGGCAGCCGGTGGGCAGCCCGGGAGCCAGCAGGGGGCGCCCGCGCCTCGGCGACACGGGGAAGACGCTGCGCTGCAGCAGGCAGGGTGCCAGGAAACGCCACCTCCCTGGCAGAGGAGCCAAGAAAATGGAGACCTTGCAAACTGAGGGCAGGACACGTCCCCCTGGCTGAGGTGTTTCTTCTCTTGCAGACGCTAAGTGAGCACAGCTTTGCTTGAAACCAGGAGGGCCCCCAGTTCCCCTGCCATGCCCTGAGGTCATCATGGGGGAAGATGCGCTAAAACACAGGCCAGAATTTTAAGACCGTCTCCTGTCATTTGCTCATTTCCAGTAAAGGAAACTGAATGAAGGGGGCCGAGTTTTCGCCTTTTTTCCTACTGCAACTCCAAGACCCTTGCGTAAATGAGTTTTCAAATCAAGAGAGACAATTCTGTCAAGCCTTCAGTCCCGACTCGTTCACTGAGGCAAATCACTGCACTCTACAACCCCACAAGCGGCGACACGCTGGCTGCCAAGTGTGAGGCCCCCTTAATGGACAGAGGCTATTATCTGAGATCAATTACCCACATTTCTAACACGTGTGCGTGGCCCCGCACTGATTTCTGCCTCTAAATATATGGTTAGATTACAGAGCTTTTTAAAAAAAAAAAAAAAAATTACTTCCATACCCAGCTGGCCGTATTCAGGGCACCCAAAGGAATAGAGGTTTCCTTTGCAGTCCATTATCATACTGAATTCCGCCCCGCAGGCCATTTTGGTAATTGGCTGGCCGTTGTACATTATCTGAAAAGACAAGACAGCAGACCTTCAGACATGTTTTAAAAGACTGATAAAAAAAATCTCTTCCTCTGAGATGGTATAAACCATCACCGGGATCCAAAGGAGATTTAATGGAACCCACAACTCCAAAGACAAAAGCCGGGTGTATTCGGGCAATACAAGACCCAGAATATAGCGAAAGAAACACCTTGGTGGCCACCCCCAACTTTCCCATGACATGAATCTTTTCTCGCAATACTGGGGACTGAACCCATGGCCCTTGCACTGAGCCCCAGGCCTTTTTTATTTTGAGACAAGTTCTTGTTAAGTTGCTAAGTTCCCGAGGCTAGGCTGGAACTTGCAATCCTCCTGCCTCTCCTTTAAGAATTGAGACTATAGGCATGTACCACCATACCTGGTTCATGAGTCCCAAGTGAAGGTATAAACTGGTTCAAAATGAACTAGTGGGGCCCGGTGTGGTGGCACACACCTGTGAGCCCAGCACTTATCTGTGTCCTGAGCCCCTGGCAGGTGACTCTGCCTAAGTTCAAACCAAAGCTTTGTAAATAAAGACAAAGCTAATCCAGAAAAAAGTTTTCACTTTCTTTTGAACAACACAGACTCAAGACAAGGCCTCTCAACACACACTTGTCCTCTGGGAAAAAAAGCTGTTCCAGGAGGGCTGTGACCTGACTCCAGATGGAACTGAGCCCATTACCTGTGCAGGGCTGGGGACTGCGTCTGTCTGGTTGCCAAGGCCCAGCTGCCCCATCTTGTTCTCTCCAAAAGCGAACACGGAGCCCGTTTCTAGGAGGAGAAATACCACAAAAGGGGAAGGAATGCTCAATGCTTTCAACCAGGTTTTGGAATCAAAAAAGCACTCAAATAATAAAAACAGCTCATTTGCCAGGCAGACTGTGGCGGAGGGTGGGGATTTCAGAGCAGACCCCACTTCCCATCAGATTCTGGGTGTGCACCCTGCTCTTATCTCAGGTGGGGGGGGGGCGCCCTGGAGGCTACTGGGGCTCCTTTATGACCTTGACCAAGAGCCACTGGGGTGACTCCGCTACACCCCCAGGCTCTGCCACTCCTTACCCGTCAGGGCCAGGGTATGGTTGCGCCCACAGGCTGCCAACACGATCACTTCATGGCTGAGGCCGTCGATCAGCCTGGGGGCTTCCACTCTCTTGGTGTCCCCATGGCCCAGCTGCCCCTTCTCATTCCGCCCTACAGGTGGATCACAGCTGTGTGAGTGGGCGGAGCCAGGAGCTGGGCAGCACTGCAGGTGGCCCCCAGCCCCAGAAGGAGCCTCCGCGCCCACTGCCTGAGCGTGGGCCGTGCAAGCTTCAGCTTCTCCACCCCTAGAGTGGGGTGCAGTGCCCATGGTCCCATCTGCTGCTGGTCCCCAAGATCACTTTCCAGCTACAGGAACCCCCACATTTTTTGTCTCCTTTCTGACAGCAGTGCCAGGGCCAATCCAATTGTACCCCAAATCTCTCACACCAAAGGAAATCCAACAAATGCCTAGATCTGACCTGCAGAATGTCCTACGACATCCCTGTCTCTAATGCCTTAGAGACCCTTCCTTCCTCTGCTGCAGCTCTCTGCAGAGTTAAATACCAGGACCGTCCCAACGCTGGCCTCAGAGCTGAGCTAGACGGGACACCTGTACCTTGGACTACCCGGTCTCTATCCATCACTTCTCCCATCTGCACCCCCCCCCGTCATCCCTCAAATACTCTGAGCCCCATGAACCCTGGTGACAAGGTGACAAGGCCTGCTCTCAACACCCAGCCTACAGGGCCAGCTCACCCCTGCAGCTGCTCTGACTTTACCTAAGTCTATATCCTACAGGGTACAGGAGCACCCTGGATGGCACTGAGTGGGCCATGAGAGCTAAGCACCCCTAAATCCCACCTAGGGCTCAACATGGGTCCAAAACAAAACCCCCGAGGGCTCTCTCGAGCCCCACCTCCCCACTGAGGGGACCACCCATGTGACCTAATGTTTGTGGGTTAACAGAGATTAAACAGGGCTGCAAAGTCAGCTCGTTGGAGGGGTACCCACCCCAACATCAAGCTTTTCACTTTCAGGCCCTGAGAAATGCCAAGGGCAGAGTCACACAGCCAGGTGCTGGTGCCCTGGAGGAGGCTGGCAGAGGGAGCAGCCTGCACTGATGTGGGTGGACACGGAGGACTGCCAGGAGGAGGTGGCCTCCTCAGCTGTGTGCTCGAGGGCCACACGGCCACACGGCCACACTGCCACACGCACTGCAGGTCCACTTTGAAAGGCATTTCCAACACTAAACAATGAGCCACACTGCACCAGGGCCCAGGTGACAGGAAGGTGCCAGCCTCCCTGGGCAGCGCATCACAGACACATAGATGGCAATGGCCACTGCAGGGCCAGCAGGGACAGGGCCGGCCTTAGAACCACCTGGGAGGTGAACTCAGCAGGGATGAGAAAAGCCAGTCAAGCCTGGAAGGACACCACAGTGGGTGTGGGCACGAGCAGGAGGTGGGGGAAGGACACACCCCCAAGCTGAGAAAATCAGGGCAAATGTCAGCATGTCATCAAGGGCTCTGAGGACAAATTTGGGCCAGACACACTTGTGAGCTTTTTTGCAACACAATTACAAAATTAGCAGAGTGCGGGAAGACGACAGATGTTAATATATTTGGACTTTGGTGCAGCAGCTCATGAAATCGTGAAAAATGGTTCAAACAGACCGAAATAAAAATGCAGTCATATGGACAAAAAGGCAGCCAAAGGGCCAGAAACAAAGGGAGGGGACAAATGCCAAGACGCCCCAGCTGGAGGCAGAGCTCAGGGCTCGGGAGGCAGCCGGCACGGTCAATTACCAATACCTTATTAACAATCTGGAGGGGAGATGTGGGGCAGGCTAGGCAGGGGCCACCCCAGGCCCTGCGAGGGACGCTGAGCAGCAACCCAGTGCCTGGGGCTGTGGCCGAGGGACAGACCAGCTAGGCAGTGAGCTCCAAGGCCCGAGGAGCTGGCAGAGCTGGGGGTGGCAGAGATGCGGTGCCTGTGACAAGAGGTGGCAGCTACAAAAACTGGTGGCATTTAAAGGGGTGAGAACAGAGGCCTTATGTCACGCTGTGCTACAGAGCAAGACGGTGCTGCCTGCTGCAGGGACACGTGCCTGAAACGGGCACGGCAGTGTCACAGAGATCAAATTTTAGTCCAAAAGTTCAGGAATACACTGCTCAAGAGGATTCAAAGGAGGCCGGGCTTTGGGGGTACACACAGGCCTGTAATCCCAGCACTCAGAGGCTGAGGCAGGAGGATGGCTACAAATTTGAGGCCAGCCTGAGCTCCACAGACTAAAATGAAACTAAAATAAAGAGGGGCTCAAATAATTAAGGGAGGGAGTGTCATGAAAATCGGGGTGGGGTGGGATGGAGGAAGGGGGTTCTCTGCAGGATACAGACAAGACAGGCTGGGAATTAAGAGAAACTGGGTCTGGGAACAGGCTCAGGGGCTACCCCTCCTCTAGGTGAGGAGAGAGGGTGGGTTCCCAAGCAGGGAGCCGCCTGCCCACATGGTACTCACCCCAGCTCCACAACTTCCCTTCAGTGGTGATGAGGAGGCTGTGGGCGGCACAGGACCCCGACACCACCGTCCGCACCCGGACCCCTGCCAGGCACCCATACCTGTGGGGGCCCCACAGATTCTGACCAAGGTTTCGGTAAGCAGCTGCAGAGAGAACAAGACCCAAGTCAGACCCCAGTGATGGGGACGAGAGGCCCACCCCTAAATCGTCACCAGCCACCAAGGGCCCCCTTCCCCTCAGCTCCAAGGGGCAGCTGCTCCTGGGGTGCCGGGCTGGCCTGGCCATCGGAAGGCCACACCACGATGAAGTTTGCACCTCAAATCTCCATGCACCCCGAGGACCCGAAAGCGAATCACCTCACTGCCCTCCCAGCCTTGTCCCTTCCAGCAAGGCCCCAGCCACAGCCCTCCCCCAGCTCCATCTCCGGCCACCTGAGCCACCTTCTGTAGGCCTCAGTGTCAGTTTGTTGCCTGCATGAACCCAGTTTTCAACCAAGTTCCTCCCAAACCCCTACCTGTCCACATCTGACTTAGAAACTCCCCTTTAGGGACAAGGAGACAGAGGGAGGGGAAGGGGACATGAAGGCATGAGGACACATTGTGTAGATATACCCGCGTGCTGAATGCAGTCACGTCCTGCAAAGGCTGACAGCGAAAGCAAGAATCAGAAAGGCATCCCCCTTTTCCCAGTGGCTCCCCCAGCCAGCACTCGCGTGGCCCATCGGAGCACCCTTCCTGCAGAGCCACCTGCCTTCCGTCCTCCTGTGACAGCAGCCAGGGCAGCCCAGGCGCCTGGCACAGGGTGACAGCTCAATCCCGCTACCACACCCCGGAGGGCCACAGCACAGCTCCTCCCTCAACATCCCTGCTTCTGCCCTGAGAAAGGGCACGCACAGACCACTGCTCTGCCTCGGTCTCAACTCGGGAATTCTTGGGACAGAACCGCAGTGACAACCAGCCCCTGGAGGAGCTGTCGGGACTGCGAGGCTGTGAGTCTGTCCCTTGAGTCCTCCCCCACTGTCACAGGACAGGTCCCGTGCAGGGTCCGTAGCTCCAGGCCAGGCTCCCAACAGCAGACACGACTAACAGACTTAGTGACCAGGACAGGGAGGCCAAAAGCAGCGGCCTTGAAGGCCGCATCAGAACCGGCAGAGAACCCTGAGCAGCACCTCAGTCAGGAGGCGGGAACTATATAGGAGAGAACTTGGGAAAACTGAGCAAGAGGAGGTCTGCCACGGGGAGGCTCCCACCTGGCCCGCTGCAAGTCTGCCACTCGGCCAAGCTCCCAAGGCAGCGGGCTGGCTCCTGTCCCCAGCCATTTCCATCCAGAGGGCTCGCGCCTAATCCTGGCAGCAGCTGCCAGCCTGATAGATGTCAATACCCCTCCCCTCCTCCAACTCTTCTTCCTGCATCAGCCTGGAGACCCCGAGGCCCGGTCCTAATCACAGGGCCACCTTGCTGTCTGTCTGGGAAGCCAACCAGCGAGGAGATGCAGGCTGCCAGTGGTCGGGGTCCCCTGGCTCCCTGACAGCTGGGCGGTGGGCAGGGCAGGTCCCACCTTGTCCATCCTGTTTTTGCTTCAGTGACTTTAAGACAAATTAAAAGTCCTAAACTCGGGGGGGGGGGATATCTCCTTCCCTTCCCTCTGTTCATTTGAAGATATTTTTAGAATTAAAAATATTACATATGTTGGGCATGGAGGCACATGCCTGTAATCCCAGCACTCAAGAGGCTGAGACAGGAGGATAGCTATGAATTCAAGGCCACCCTGGGCTACAAAATGAGTTCAAGGCCAGCCTGAACTGCAGAGCAAATCCTCGTCTCAAAAGGGAGGGGAAAAAAGAGAAAAATAAAAAAGAAACAAACCAAAGGAATATTACATAAACCTGCTTAGGAGGAGAAACCTCAGAAGTACAGGCAGAAGAGGGGGTGGTCTTCAGACACCCTGATTAGAGCCACCGTGGCCCAGCTTCTGTGGCCGCATGAGAGGCAGGAGGCTGGGGCTGCCCTGGCCGCATGCTGGGCTGCAGGCTGGCACTTGCCCCCATCTATGGAGCCATGGTAGGGCACTCAGCTAAGAGTGGAACCGCCAGAGGTGCCACCTGCATGCACGCTCCCATGCACGTCCACAAGGGAGCCTCAGCGGGACCCTCGGGGGCTGCCGTGCCTCCCCAGGATGAGCTGCTCCCCCAAGCCTTGTCCTTCGGTGCCAGGTGTGACAATGGGCAAACACTTGTTCAGGGGTGAAGCCATGGTGGAAAGCACTTTGAGTGAGTTTCCAAATAAAATCAAGAAGCCACAAAGCATGGCAAGATGCCGGCCTTGTCAGCGATGGGACCATCTTCCCAGAGGAAAGACACCAACTTCCCAAAGGGAGCCGGGACAAAAAATGTCGGCTTGGGACTTCTCTGATCCGGTTCTCTCCACTGAGTGTTCCCGGCTGTCAACTGGGCTCCTGAAGCGAGCTGGCCGCTTGTGAGCCAGGAAGTCAAAGCACCAGACTTCTGACACCTGACAGTCACCAAATGTCTAGGATGCTGTGGCAGCATCACACAGGACCAGCCTCTGGATGGTCAGGAAGACCAGTGGCAGGAGAAGCCAGAGGAGGAAGAGGAGGAGGAGTCCACAATTACTTGGGGAAACCACTTCTTTCTATGTCCCTGGGTAATCTCAACAGAACTGGTTTCTCAAAGGCAGAACGGCAAAATCAGTCTCTCCAGACCAGGTTCCAATCCAGCTCCACCAGTCCACAGGCTGTGTGGCCGCAGGCAAGTCACCTGGCCTCTCTGAACACGTCTGCAAACAGAGAACACCTACCTGATGGGTGGTCAGCAGAACTGCACGGGCCACCTAGACGGAAGAAGCAACCCATCGATGTTTAGAAACCGGTTCTCATACCTTGTTGCTTAGGCACTTCTTTACGACCAATCAAGTCCCAGTTGGTTGCCCCAAAAATCAAAAGTTGACCTTTGCACTTAGACCCTTCAAGTTTCTACAGAGACAGAGAGAGGGGGAAAAAGAATTAGCACGGTAAGGCCGCGTCCAGCTCTCCTTAGCTGTCCTGCAAAAGCAGGAAACAGAATGCTTTTTGTGTGGGGTTCTTTTTGGGGGGTTAAACTCAGGGCTTCATGCATGCTAACGAAGAGCTGCACCACCAAGCTGCAACCCCTGTCCTTTTTAACTTTTACAACAAGGTATTGCTAAATTGTCCAGGTTAGCCTTAAACTTGCAATCCTCCTGCCTCAGCCTTCCGAGCAACTTATACCCAGTAAATATCATTCTTAGTTGGGGCTCCTAGGAGCACTGTGCACCAGTCACATGTCCTACTCAATCTGTGATCCACAAGTTCAAAAGTGGGTGACTCCAAACCTGCCCCCAAGCAGCTAAAGCCAAATTACAGACCTCCCTCTCTACTCTAGGAAGGGCCAGGTATCTACACTGGGGCTATGGAGCCCCAAGAGGGAATCGATGCTCAACCTTGGGCTAAGTCTACATAGTGTAACAGTGAACACTGTTGCACTGGTAGCATATGAACCTTGGGAGCCCAGGGTCATTCCTGCAAGGTCATCAATGCCACTGCCCCTGTTTGGTGTTCACTGTGCCAAGAGTGGGCTCAAGTTGGCATGAGGAGCCTGGACGTCAGTGATAGATGTTATACTTTTCCAGGGCAGGGAGGAGGGGACAGCCCCTCTGTGGGGGCAGGAAGGCCCGACAAGTGGCTTTGAGGGACCCAGTGATGCCCACAAGCCAGGGACCAGGTGAGTGAATCGGAGAACCTTCCCAGGGTCATGCCTCACAAGGGACAGGCTGTCACTTGCCACCCATGTATTCCAATCCCCATTCCCATCATCAGTCACAACTCAGAAAATGACCAGGGCCCCTGGCCTTCAACCAACCGTCCCTGAAAACCTGTAGCATTCAATATTCCCAGCGCTCTATCCACGTCCATGTCAAAACAGACTTTTAAACGTGGAAAACTGGGCAGACCCCAGGCTCGGCTCTACCTTGGGCACAGAAGTGGGGCTCTCCTGGCTCTCCACTTCCCCTTGCACCCCTCGCACTGGGATCTATGCAATCGTTCCTGGGAGGCCTGGAATGACACAGGCAGCCCACTCCGCCTGGTGCCTGCCAGGCTGGGGATCCTGGCACCATGCTGGATCCACACATTTAAGGTCGCAATGAACCCATCCCATTCCTTGGGGAGCCTGGTGTCACAAGTGGGTCCCACCACATTCTGCCTCCATACTGACACAAGTGGGAGGCTGCAGCACAGGAACGGAGTCGCCTCGGCTGCTAAATTATTCACAATTATTCTTGCTTTGGCAGGGGACGCCCCCCCACCCCCGCCACTCAGGTTACTTGAATGGGAGCCTGGTTTGCCCTGCCTGCTGCCTTCCCTTCCTGATGCAAAGAGAGGTGTGGCTGGAACACGTCACATCCGGTTGTGTGTCCCATGCAAGAGGCCCTGGGCTCCCCATTAAGCCATTCACTCATACTCTATCTCCGGGTCAGTGTGGTAGGGGCAGCAGAGCCAGGAAGGGGCTGGCGCACCAGGAGGACAAAATTGGAAAAGAGTGCCAAAATGACCATCACTCCAGGTCAGGAGGTCTCCAGGCAGGCAGAGGTTCAGGGGACCCATGCTCAGTGTTTGCCAAGAAGGTGAAACCAGCCCAGCACTGAGTGAAACTTCACAGGCGCCGTGGCTCCCCCAGAATCCTTGGCTCCATCAGGCCAGAGGGCTCCAGGCTGCATCCAGGCAGCCGAAACCTGCAACGGTTAGCTAGAGCAAAGGTTTCCCGAGTGACCTGGGCATTGGTCAAGAGCTCAGGAGGCCCTTTCAGCCAGCTAAACACTAAAATCCAACCCACCCTTTTGCCTAAAAGGCCTTTGCAGGGAACTGAGTCCACTCCAGGGGATGCCAGCTGGCTTCCTCTCAAGGGCACGGTCGCCTTGACTCAAATTTTTATGTCTCAGGCCCTGCATCCACCAACATGAGACTGAGACCAAAGAGCGGCTTCATCACTATTCCACAAGCCTTTGTTCCCCTGCAGCTCCCCACAGACAACAGTGGTAGTGAACCCATGGCACGTGTACACAGCGTACTACAGCACTGAAAGCTCTGAAACCTAATTATTCACACCATCCTATGTGCAGTAAAAAGAACAGGAAACCTAAGTAAAAGATGTTACCGCTGTTTAAGTCAACACTGTGTCACTCTTGGTGAGCTGGGTGGATCCGGGCTCTCAGTTCCTGCCCAAGTGCCCAGACAGTGCCTGACCCTCTGGAGGTGAAGCCAGGGCTCCACCACCAGTCAGGAGATAGTTTTGTGGATGAACTTGGTGACTGCGACACTGCTCGTGTCTAAAGGGCCATCTAGCAGATGAACCTAAAACGCAGTCGGTCCCCTGGCAGGATAAATGAAATTCATCTCACCTGGCTGCCTCCCAGCAACTGGTCACCAAGGTGATCTGGGCCCGATAAATGGCCAAGGCAGAAAAATGCACTGAGCTTCTCAATCAACGACAGTGGGATTTTTGGTGCAAAGTGATTTCTGAATTATTGCCCAAGTGTGAAAGACGTGCCTGGGAGGCCGAGGCAGTTTTCACACACGTGTGCCAGAGACTGTGGCTGCCCAGGGAGGGATGGCCACCACTGAGAGCCAGGCAGCAGCAGGAAGCTACTAGGCGGTCAGCTCAGCTTTCAGCTGGGTTTGGTCCTTCCACATTGGCCAGGTTTGTCTTGGATCTCTGAAACCTCAGCAACCTCAGCTACAGACATTAAGGAGGCCTAGACTCCTGCAACATTCATCTGCTCCTGAGGACTCCACAAACCCTAGGACAAATGCTTATCTGACAGACAACCACACACAAAACTCAGGGTGTATTTTCAGAGAGTGAAATCCTGAGACTGTTTTGTAAAAATACCCATCTTTTACTAAGGCAACTTTGCCGAAGTGTAAAAACAAGTCTTCCTTCCCAGGTCACCAAAACACCTGCAGGGTGGTGGAGTGGGGGCCCCCGGTGGGAAGGCTCGTAGAAAGGTCCTTCTGCATCAAACCAGCAACTCTGGGTGGCGTGTGGCAGCACATGGGTCCTCAGCACTGCCCAGCACAGGGAAACCAGTGATCTGGGGCCAGAGACACTGGGCAGCATGCCGACCTGGGACAAGGAGCAGGGGGCCAGCCCAGGCCTATGGGAGGGAAATCTGGTCTGCGAGGGCCCTGACCTTGGACCAAACCAACAGATACAAAATGAGAACAGAAACTCGCGTGTGTCCTTTCCACAAGGCAAGAAACAGTACCATATTTTTTTGAACCCTTGTGGTCTTGTTTCTCTGCTAGGATAAGAAAAGTTCAAGCTATCCACTCAAAGGAATCATCTGTCTAACAGTCCCTCTGCTTTAAGGGTTAGGAACGTACAGCTCGGACACATTATATATGCATCATGACACGTATGTATAGAAAAATGTAAAAAAAAAAGATAATAGATGCAAATGGAAAACAAGCATGAAGCGCCACAAGATCCTCCACCAACTTGTAAAACGTGCCATTTCCAAGAGGCAAACCAGCTTCACGCAAGGCTGGTGCCTGCAGGAGTGACTGGCTGGACAACTTGGTGCCCTCCAACTCTGGCTCTGCAGCTATCATCTTAGGTGAATCCCAGCATGGGATAAGAATCCTTAATTCTTGACCTCTAAACTCACTGCTCCAACAATTAGCTACAGCCATGCAGCTGACAACGCAGAGGTCGATGTTTGAACACAATTTTGCTTTTCCTAATGCACTCGGAACACAGAAGCCGAGCTTGTCCAGCCTTGCCTCGTAGTTTTTTGTCCTAACAACAGTGTGATTGATGGGCCTAAGTCTGGATTAGATTTGCTGGAGAAAAGCAGCTCCAGCGCTCCTGTTTCTCAATATCCTGACAATGTCTTGGCACCTGGCCAGCGCAGGGCCCTACCTGGGCAAGACCTTCTGACATGGGCACCCCTCGACTATCTGGTGTTAGGCCTTCCTCAACGTGGCAGTTAGAAAGCACCTACACAGGCACAAACCCCAAGGTCCTCACACCTCACTTATCCATGAGGAGGCTTCCAAAGCACCATTTCTAACCTCAAGGCAGGCCCGCTCCTGCGGAAGCACTCTACTCCGGTCAACCAGTACCAGCCTCCCAGCCTCCGAGCATGCGCAAGAGGAGACACGATCCTCCCTAGAGTCACTCTAAACCCCCGAGGGGAAGTTCCATCTCTCTTCTGGGGTTATCTGAGAACCTGGCGAAAGCTCTCTTTCCCCCAAAACCTGGCCCACTGCAAACTTGCAGAAAGTTCTGGCAGAGATGGTGCAGACCCTGAGCTCAGCTCTGCAGAGCTCTGCAGACACCTAAGTCGAGCTGGCCACCACTTTCACTGCCACTCTAGCAACTGAAGCCCACTCACTCCGCGGGAGGCGCTTCGCACCTGATCCCCGCAGTTGGCAGGTCTGCACCCCGCACCGCGGGCAACCAGCAGCAGACAAAGCCGGGGCCCCTCTGAGATGGAGCTCCGGGGAGGGGGGGTCTCAGAGCATGCGCCTTCTAACCGCGGCCCCCGCCTTCCCGGCGCAAGGCCTCACGGGGCATGCGCAGCGGGCCGCAGGCCCCGCCCCCCCGGGGAGCCGGAGCCTAGGCGGCGGGAACCTCAAAGCCCGGCGAGAACCACCGCTCCCCGCAGGGCGCCTGCAGCCCTCCCCACCGCGCCCGGGCCCACTAGCAGGCTCGGGGCGAGTGGGGGCGCAGGGGTGGCAGGAGGCGCGCAGGGCTGCCCCGCGCCGCCGCGGCCCCCGGCCCGGGCGAAGTTGCCCAAGTCCCGCTCGGGGGCGGGGGAGGGGCGAGGAGAGGCTCGCGCGGCGCCGGGTGGGGGCGGGGCGTGACCCCCGCGCGGGGGCGGCGGAGGCGACGCCGGCCCGGCAGCCCCTCCCCCGCGGTCCCCCGGGCCCGCCGCCCGCGCGTGGGGTCGCTAGGCCGCGGCCCGCACCGCCGCCGGCCCTTTTGTTGCGCGGAGGCGGCGATGATTCAGCCGAGGCCTGCGCCCGCCGCCCCCACTCGACCGAGACGCCCGGCCCCCGCCAGCCCGCCGGGCCCACTCACGACGCGCTCCTTGGTGTGCTCGGGCTCGGTGATGACTACGGCCGCGCCGCCCGGCTTGCCAGCCGCCGCCGGTCGCGCCGCTCGCTTGCCGCCGCCGGGGGTCCCGTCGAGCTCCAGGCCGTCCTCGTCGCCACTGCTGCCGCCGCCACTGCTGCTACTGCAGCGCTCGGGGCGCTCGCGCTTCCTGCCCGCCGGGCCGCCACGCTTCCTTGGCCCCGCGCGGGCTGTGCCGTTGCCCGAGCTCGGCTCCTCCCAGGCCGCCGCCACCGCCTTCTTCCTGGGCATGGTCGCGGCTGGAGGGAGACACGGGGCAGCGGCGCACAATGGACGGGTTATAAACTGCGGGGGGGAGGGGAGGAGACGAGCCACCCGGCCTCCACTTCCTCCCTTGCCCTCCCCAAAGCGGCGGCCGCGGGGTGGGCGGAGGGGCGAGCGAGGAGGAGATCGCGCCCCTCCCAGCCCCGCGGGGCGCGCCGGGGAGTCCCTCGCGCTGGATGGAGCCTCGGGGGAGCGGGACGACCCCCGCCCCATCCCCGAGTTAGCGTTGAAGCACGTAGCATCACGATTGCAACCTGGTCCCAGAGAAGTGCGGGGCAGGAGCTCCCGGCCTTCTGGATTTTAATTGCCGAGGCTCTGGGACACTGGAAGGGGCTGGTGGCGGGCGGCGTGGGGAAGCACCCCCCCATCCGCGGACGCCCACCCCACCTGCTGCTTTTCTCAGCGCCCCCTCCCGGGTCCGCTCCGAGTACACAGTGCCCTTCTCGCCCCCGCCGGCCGAGACCGAGTGCGCCTGGGTCAGGGCTCCTTAGCCGAGTTCCTCAGGGTTGGACGCCCCCAGCCCCAACACCTGCTCGACTGTCACGGAAAATAAACTTTAATGGTGCAACTCCGGGCCGCGCGCCCGCCGGCCTCCTCGGCCCGCTCCTCGCGGCCCCAGCGCCTGTGCGCCTGCCGGGCCGCTTTCCTCTCCCTCTCTCTCTCTGTTGCTTCTTCTTTTTTTTTTTTATTGATTTTGAACAATGGGATCTCTGTCTGTCTCCGATTAAACCACGTGGATCCGCTTTCCTTCCCCTTCTTATTCATTCGATCTCCCAACCCCCCTTCTCAGGTTTTTTTTTTAACCTTTCATCTTTAAAAAAGAAAGAAAGAAAGAAAGAAAGAAAAACCGGAAAGGGAAAAAAAAAAAAACTTTCCCAGACCCCGCAAACTGATCACTGAGGATCTTCAGCCCCTACCTGGCCGGAGTGATGCAAAACTGGAGAGAAAAAGGAAGAGGAGCAACTAAAAGACGGATCGGAGGGCTGCTTTTCTTCCTTTTTTTTTTCCCGGCCCAGACGAGGACTCCAACCCACTCACCAGATACACTTAAAATGTAAATACGAGCTTCCAGAACAAATGCTACAACACAAAACAGAAACACATGTGCGGCCGGGCGGCAAGCGAGTGCGCGGCGGGGCTGGCGGCGCGCGGCCCGGGGCGCGCTCGCCCCCTGCCGGCTGGCGGACCGGCGCCCCGGCCCCTGCACCCCGCACCGGGCGCCACGCCGCAGACCTGGCCCTGCCGGCTCCTGCGCGTCCCGCAGGCTCGGGAGTGCGCCCAGGGCCTTCCACGCAGCGCGTCCTGAGCGCCCGAGACGTCTTTGGGGCATAGGAGAGCGATGGATTGTTTTTGCCGGGCACGTCTAGACAGGTCACCTGAGGACACTCGCTGGAAAATAGTTACTTTGCTCACGCAGCAGCCAACAAGGGACGTGTCCTAATTGAGCGATCAGAATGAAAGCAGAATACAGTCTGAATGACTTTCTCCTGCGCAGAGAGAGGCTGGCTTTTATTTGCCTATGGATCAGTCCCCTGTGTGTAGCAAGGTAGCTGTTACACGGTCCAGTTACATAAAAGTAACGTAGGAATGTATTCATTTTATTTAACGTAAGGGCCATGCAGACACTTGGTGCTAGTTCTGAGATGGAAATGTTTCATTTCTTGACGTACTGAGCCTCCCTCCCCCAACCCCAGCACATGCGAGAGACTCACAGTGTTAGATGCTGGGGACACAGGACCTGGGGAACAACATTTCTGTGCCGGGAAAACATGCAGTAAGGAGATAAGATAGACTGCGTACGATCCGGGTAACAAAGAGATGCCTATGTAGCGCCACATTATGGGCCGAAAAGGTGTCCTATTCCTGGGTAGGGAAAGCATTCCTTTGGGAAGTCCAAAGGAAGGTTAAGGCCCACGGGAGAGGACAGAGTATTCCCAGCCAGACGGGAGGAAGTACAAGGAGTCCAGCGATCCTGATGTCCGATGGGGTAAAAGTAGCTTGGCCTGAGAAAGCAGGGGTCAGTGAGAGCCTGGTAAGCCCCACCGAAGACTGATTATTGCTTGTTGGAGGTTGTTTGCTCATCCTGGGATTGGGGGCGATAGAAAAAAAAAGACTTGCATTCTTCTGACTGCCTCCCTCACCCCCACATTATCCTCTCAGTGTAACTCTCCTGCTGGTCTCATCTCACTTCTTCCCGGGGTACCGTGCACAGGGAAGCCCCTTTATTAACTTCCTGCGGAGGGATGGAGTTCTAGGACTTCTGCAACTCCTTTCAGGACCGCTTACGGCAAGAAGCAGGATTGGAAGGCAGTAGATGTCTCCAGGAAGACCGAATTCAAGAAGCCCCCATCAGAGGCGTCAGAACAAAGTCAGAAGTCTGTGTCCATGGAGCCAAGAGCACTTAGGTCAAACAAACAAACTTTGAAAATGAGCAATCTACTGTCACATTTCGAAGATTTTCAGCGATGGCAGGACAGAACAGAAGCACCCTTAGGAAGCCTCTCCTTAATAGCTTTAAAAAAAAAAAAAGACTGACTAGATTACACCTTGGTGCTTTGATACAAAGCTTAAGTGGAATCAAGTGGGAGGGGGAACTTCTCCTAAATGCTGGGAGAGAAGTCCCCTTCAGGGACCGGCAGGCTGATGCTTGTCAGGCTGAGGGGGTGGGCTGGATGTTTGCTCTCCAAACACCGTGTGTGGCCAATTAGTGGTGCTATTGACTGTGCTTTTAGACTCCAGCCTGTGAGCCTCTCTCTCTCTCCCTCCCTCCCATCTCCCCATTCTAATGCTGCTTTTTTTTTTTTTTTTTTTTTACCAGTGTCAAAGTTATGTGCCACAAACACTGATGCAATGGACGCTAATATCACATGGCATCATCTGACCCTAGGTGTGGTGCTCCCCAGACCGGTTCTTCCTGAGGTTGCGGGGCCTGGAGAAAAGCACTTTGGGTTTAACGCCTCCGAACTGGTCCTACTTGTCAGATGACACAAGTGGTTTCTGACCTGCAGGCCTGATTCCACAGCCGTCCTCGCCCTGGGGGCTGGGGGAGGGCCTGGGTGAAGTGGGCATTCTGCTGCTGCTGCTGCTTCTAGTGGTGCGGCCGCTGCCTCTGCTGCTGCTGCTTCGGGCTCGGCAGCCAGACATGTCAGCACCAGCAGCTGCTTATGTAACAAAAGCTACAGAGTGAGGCCGGCCTACCTACCTACCGGGTGGCTAGAAATGGCACTTCCGCCTCCAAAACGTGTTTGGAATTTCACTTCCCTTTAACTGAGCAACTTCTCCCTGGACGTGGTGGTTTGGTCCAAAACCTGGAGAGCAGAAGGGAAAGCAGGGGACTGAGATGTCTCAGGCACTTCAGGGTGCAGGTGCCTGGTGCTGTGCTGAGTGATTTTTGGACCCAGAGTGTGGGAATGTGGGTTTCAGGTTCTGGACCTGCCTTTGTCATTTCGCCTCTTCTGGTCTTCAATAAAGGCAATTTTCAAGTTAGACCCAAGCTAGGCATGGGTGCATGCCTGTAATCCCAACACTTGGAAAGCTGAGGCAGGAGAGTCTCAAGTTGGAGCCAAATATGGACAATTTAGTCACTTAGAAATTTTTTAAAAGTTTAAAAAGGGCTAAGAATACAATTTAGTGCAAAGAGCTTCAATCCTCAATACCAAAACTTTTAAAAAAATGGACACAGTGGCACATGCCTGTAGTCCAGCTACTCAGAAAACTGAGGCAGGAGGATTGCTTGAGCCCGGGAGTTTGAGGCCAACCTGGACAGCAGAAGGAATTTTAGCTGGGAATGGTGGCACATGCCTGAAGACTCAGCATTTTGGGAGGCTGAGGCAGGATGATCACTGTTAGTCTGAGGCCAGCCTGAACTATAGCACATAGTCAGACCTTGTCTAAAAGGGAAAAAAAAAATTCTAAGGAAAGAACCAAACCCAGCACTCAAGAGGCTGAGGCGGGAGGTTTGGAGTTTGAATCCAGGGTACATGTCAAGTTTGAGACCAGCCTGGACTACACAGTGGGACCTTATCTCAACAAAACAAAGTAAGTAAATGGGGGGCGGGGTATGGGCCAGTTGTAGCCTGCTTATCTAGCATGTGTGAACCCCTGGTTTTAATCCTCAGCAATACACACACACTAATCAATTTTAAAATTATTTATTTTTATTTTTATTTTTTTATTTTTTTTGAGACAGGGTCTCGCCATGCAGTTCAGGCTGGCCTTGAGCTCACTTTGCAGCCCAGGCTGGTCTCGAACTCACAAGGATCCTCCTACCTCAGCCTCCCAAGTGCTGGGATCACAGGCGTGAGCCACCACACCCAGCATTATTTTGGCTTCTTGAGACAGGGTCTCAAGTCCAGGTTGACCTTGACCTGAAATCTTCCTGCCTCAGCCTCCCAAGTGCTAACATTATAGATATGCACCATCACATCTGCCTAAAAATACCTGATGTATTGATCCCTTATTGAAATGATCTTTTGTATGTCTTGGGTTAATGTAGTGATAAAATTTATTTTACCTCCTTTTTTTTTCTTTTTGTCTTTTTCCTTTTCCTCGGTACCGGGGATCAAACTCACGACTGCCTGCTTGCAAGGCAGGCGCTTATACCGTTGAGCTAAATCCCCAGCCCCTAATTTTACCTCTTCTCCCTCTTCAATGTGGCTACCACAAAAGTTGATATAGGTTTAAAGTATTGGGGGGCTGGAGGTTTAGCTCAGCGCATAAGCGCCTGCCTTGCAAGCAGGCAATCCTGAGTTCGATCCCCAGTACCGATAAAAAGGAAAAAGACAAAAAAAAAAAAATTATAGAAAAAAAAAGTATTGGGGTTCACACTGGACAGCAGCACCTTTGAAAGCCAACCCGGAAATCAGCCTACTGTTCTGCCATGGACCCTCTCTGCCTCTCTAGCTGGTTCCCCATCTGCCTGTAAGAGTCTCACCCAGTTCCTCTAGGGGACCTTCCTGGTTTGACTGTTCCCTGCTTCCGGGATGCCTACACTGCAGAGTTCCTGTCCTAGCGACTGGAGATGTGTGAACCCCTGCCTCAGCCTCCCAAGTGCTAACATTATAGATATGCACCATGGATGCATGATGTGATGTGATGGTGCACACACAGGCACCATTTTTTGGGGAGATAAAGATCCAGTTGTCTTATTTCTGTCAGTGACTCAGGAAATTTTAGAATCTAAAGAGTCCTGCCAGACATGGTAGTTCATGCCTATTATCTCAGTGCTTGGGAGGCTGAGGCAGGAATATCCCCACAAATTCCAGCCCAGCCTAGGGTACACAGTGAGTTCGAGGTCAGCCTGACCTACATAGTGAAACCTTGTTTCCAAAAAAAGTGTCTAAAAAAAGTGTCTCTATTATATGCTAAGGGTGGAGGGAGGGAGATGTAGCTCAGTGGCACAGTCCCTGCCTGGCAATTGCGAGGTCATGAGTTCAACCCCCCCCCCCAAAAAAAAAAAAAAAACAAAGTATAAATCTTCAACCTGTGAGCCCCTCCTGGGCATGGCTTGTTGTACAGTCCTGTTTGTCTGGCAAGCTGTCAGTAGCAAGCTGGCAGTGTGTGCTTACGAACCTCAGCAGTTCCCAGAGGAAAGGTCACACCCCAGAGGGACTCCAGACCTCCTAGGGCCACAGGTTGGCTCAGCCTCCTGAGTAGCTGGCTCTTCAGCTGTGGATTACTGCACCGGGTTTACAAATGCAACTTTTCTTTAAAAATTTCAGTTGATAATTCAGTGCATATGAAGATACATGTGTGATTCAGGTATGGTGGTACACAGCTATAATCCCAGCTTTCAGGAGGCTGAGGCAGGAGGATCACTGTACGTTCAAGGCCAGTCTGAAATATATAGCAAGATCCCATCTCAATCCCCCTTCCAAAAAAGAAAATATATGCCAAAAAAAAAAAAATGTATATATACTTTTGGAGAATAAAAACGTCGTGTAAATATTGTAATACTTAATTTACTGGGGCATTATGAGATTAATTCAAGTTATCTTTGGCCACTACAAGAGGTGCTCGTAGTGCCAGCCATTAGCTGCCAGACGTTTATTAACACGGTGAACTGCTGCGTGGGTAGCCTTGGTCATCAAGATCGCTGTACGTGCATTTTGAT